TCTCTCTCTCTCTCTCTCTCTCTCTCTCTCTCTTTCTCTCTGTCTCTCTCTTTCTCTCTCTCTCTCTCTCTCTCTCTCTCTCTCTCTCTCTCTCTCTCTCTCTCTCGCTCCTTCCCTCTCTCTTTCTCTTTCTTTATTCTCTCTCTCTCTCTCTCTCTCTCTCTCTCTCTCTCTCTCTCTCTCTCTCTCTCACTCTGTAAGACTCAAAAGCATTGCTCCCCACCCCCGCACACCCCCCCCCCCCCAAAAACAAAAAGACACAATCATACTCAGTTTATGGATGTGGTTGTTTTACTACAGACCTGCCATAAACTATAGCCCAACTACTCCTGTCATTGTCAAAAGTGCAACAGAACTTGAAAGCTCTAAACCATCTGTGTCTGGGGTCTCAAACTTAAGGCCCGCCAAATGATATTTTACTTCCCCTACTTGACATCAAAGTGTAGTGTTAGTGCGGCCCACAAGTTTCTCTTAATATGCACATTTTTTGATGAGGTGTCGCCTTGCATTCATTTTGTCTTTTATCACATATAATGCCTGTTAACAAAGATTGAGAAGAAAAGATCAGGTGTACTTTTTAAAAAATATGTTGAAAAACCATTTTTCCCCTCGTTTTATGAAATATACTTGCCCAGGCTCACCCATACTTTTCTACGTCCAGGGGCCCTTGGGTAATTTGAGTTTGAGACCCGTGATTTATGTTGTTAGTGAATGGTCTGCTCCTTCTGCTTCTTTTCAGCATTCTTGTATTGTCCTTGATCGTCCTTGGCTCTATGCAGTTATTATCTTACAGACTCTTGCGCAGATGGTTGGAGGGCATCACTGGCAGGTTCTATTTCTTTTCTCTCTCGCTGCTGTCTTTGTCCGTCTATTGTACTTTTTCCCTGCCCTAGATGACTGTTATTATGTCAATGTGTTTCTGTATACTTAAAATGGAAACTTAAAATCTGGCCATAAACAGCAACATCACAACTCTTTTGACTCGAGGAAATGACTGACCTGCCTTTGTCAATAGCACTGTAAAAGTTCAAAGCTCCCCCTCCAACCTCCCACCCCACCCCTACTCCCCCACACAGTTTGTGGATCAGCGCCAGTTCTATCTTGGCCTGGACGTGGAGTACCTGGTGGACAACTTCAAGACGCAGATTGACATGCTCAGCAACAGCTGGAAGGGGCTGGGCCGGCCTCTCATGGTCGTCTCCTTCACGCGATTCGCTTTAGGTTGGAGAGAGTCGCTCGCTAACACTGTCCGCTGCTTGTCGTGACGGGCGGGGTGGGGCTCTGTTATCAGACGTGTGCTCATGATGAAAATAGTTACATCTTTAGCCCTTGCTGGGAAAGATGTTGGGGTTTTATTTTGTTTTGTTTTATATCATTTTTTTCGGAGGGGGGGGGGTGTTAAAGGGCGGTGCTTTCTATTTTTCTGGATTGGGGGGGGGGGATCCTCAGTCTTTACTAGTTTTATCTTGTTTAGGGCATAAGTTTATGCTCCCGTGTGGGTACAAATTACTCCTCTAAGCTCTATAGTCTTCTTGGAGTTACTGGCTCCTCTTCTTTTGACAGCTCGTTATTGTTACATTGGATGTCCTAGAAGTTATAGATTTTGTTTGGTTTAGAGTTACCGTGAATTGACAGGAAAGAAACTATTAAAGTTTATCTTCATTTTTAATGGTGCTTAAGTTCATTCACTTTAAGTGTTAATTGCTCCTTGCAATGAATTTTTGTGGACAACGTTGAATTGTCCTATCAAACAAAATGTTCCAATGTCACCATTGTGTTAAAAATGAATAGCAGTGACTGTGAATAGAGACAGTTGTTAGTTAACAGCAACAGTTAATAACGACAGTTGCCAGTTCATAGTGGCAATTGTCAATTGATAGTAACAAGTGTCAATAAATAGCAATAGTTGTCCAATAATTGTGACAGTTGTCACTCGCAGTGTCATGAGCACAGGTCGTTGTCAGAGCTCTCTTGCACTTAAATGTTGACATTTTTTTCCCTTTTTTTTTTGCTCAGTGTTCTTGTATTTCTTTAAATTTTGTTCATGTTATTGGTGTTGGCTCCTTAATTGTTTCTGCCCGCCTTTATATTATAAATATCCTTTTAGATAGATTCCCAACCCCTCTGTGCTCCTACACTTTTTCCCCGCATGCTTTTAAATAGATATTTTGATTCCTTTGCGGCCTGCATGGTCTCGGCTTGAAATCTTACTCTTTGCTGTGATGAAACCACAATTGGGTAAATTGCAAAGAAATTCATTGTGTAGTCAGTAGCACAGTTGCTTGTCTTTGCTGTTTGAAGTTTGCACACACACACACACACACACACACACGCACACACACACTCGCTTTGCATAGCACTTGACCCTCTAAATCTATGGCTATTTTGCACTCTGTCCCATTTTCGTAGATTCAAACCAATAGGCTTTCTAGTTTCAGTGATTTTTAAAAGTTGTTTGCCCCTCAGGAATTTCACAATGACTGTACCAGCTGGGTTTAAAACATTTTTTTCCCCAAAAAATTTCAAAGTAACTCTCTAGTAAGTGATACTTGTTCAGCACTTGTACGACCTATTTGCTTTGCAAGTGGCATTGAATTCTTACTAAAACAAAACTAAATCAGTAAAAGTTTGATAAAAAACACAACTTATGTAGCACCAGATGGAGAGAGAGAGGGCGAGAGAGATTTTCATCCATAAAAGTGTAGATGAGCATCAAATGGGAGAGCCCTGACAGAAATGAGCATGGATCCTGCGTTGACACGTGAATTCCTACTCTAAAAGTGAATGATTAGTGGATATTCTGTTGTGGTACGTTCTTTCTTTCCGTATGTGACCTATTTGTGTTGCAAGTACAGTGAAATACTTACTAAAACTAAGCAAAATGACTTTAAAAGTTTGATGAAAAAATACTTTTGTAGAAATAGTGCAGAAAAGGCTGCCCAAAATGATTTCTCTTGTGTTGAAGTTGAAAGAAATGCCTGCATAGTACTGGGGTCAGAAAGATTCCACTCGATCCTTGCTTGCGGTTTCTGGAGAGCTCTTGATAGTGCTTAATAGTGTGCACTGGCCTATGCTGTGGTAGAGGTTTTGTCAAACACTGTTCTTTTATGATTTTTCAGGTCTTTTCACAAACACATCTGGGTGCATGACTCGTGATTAGATTAGTTGAGAAGCATCTTATGCAGCAGTTGAGATACTCCTCTATCCATTTTGAACAGTATTTTAAAACTAATAGATTTAGTTGTCCATTGAGTCAATTGATAGGTTCATGGGGGTGGGAAGATTTTTTTTCCTGGTTCTTTTTTTCCTTATGGATATGACTGTTGGTGGTTACCAGAAAAGTATTCTCAGGATTGAATGTTTCCTCTTTCTTAGTGTAGCGTCATCAGAGCCACTGTGGGTTCCCCAAGTCTGTTGTGGGGTTGTATCTTGTATCTCACATTGAACGAAATGTCGGTTGTTGCTATTTTTCCTGTTAAGTTTGTAGGGTTTGATTTATGGAGCTTGGCATGATTCAGTTGTAGAGATACTGTCCTGAGGAGTCCTGAAACTGAGCTTGATGGCAAGAAGTAGTTGTTTCAGAGTTTGGGGTGTGCATAGCTATCAGTTGTACTTCTTGGGGCGAGAAAGTTTTTGTCAGGTTCACAAACCCTCACTAATGTGATTATATTGATGGCTGTCGTAGAAGTATTAGTGGAATCAAAATATTCACTCTCTCAGTTCAGCACTGTCAGGGCCATTTTAAGTTCTCTGAGTGTGTTGTGAGATTGGGTTTCGTTCATTGCATTAAACGTGGTATCTCTGTTTTTGCCCCTTTTTCCTGCTAGGTTTCTGCTTCGTTTTGTCCTTTGCCAGTGTCAATGCGTTCACGCAGGATCTGCTTTAGGGGGCATGGCATGAGGCCATAGTGGGGCCATTGTTCTGAGGAGTCTTGTTTCTGAGCTTGATGACTAGGGGTAGTCTTTGTGCTGTGTCGTGTGTGGAGTGTGTTCAGGAGAAGAAATGTCTTCATCATGGTTATGATGGATGCTGCCCTCAACTTTCATTGTCATTTTCAGGAAATGAGAGGAGTGACATCTTTGATTTCTAGATATGTGTGGAAATTTCCAGTCGTTCTGTTCCTTGTCTTTTAAAAAAAATATGTTGTCGTGATTTATAATTTATTGTTGCCATCCAGATAGTTCTAGAAGTCTTTAAGACGCCATGATTGCATCTGTACTCACGTTGTTTATTTTAAGTGCTTTCATGTGCTTTTGCAAGTGTTTTGCGGTCTATGATAGCTACAAGTAAGAAACCATAGTCTGTAGTTTTGTTAGTTGAATTGTCTCCGTGCAGTGCGTTTTTATCCGTGTTTGGGGAAAGGCAAGACTGCTTTCCAAGCTGCCTGGTGGGCGTCATTGTCCACAGGTGACTTGCCTGGAGACTGAAAGGATTCCTTACATGACCTCCTGCCTACCCTTCAGTTGGTTGGTGGCTGCTGTTTTGTAGTCTATTTTTTTTTCCACTTCAATGACTTCTCCTACCTCCAGATATGGACCACACTTTATATATACAGAACAACCCAACTGTTGGTGGCAATGTATGGTTTTGAGCCTGGTGGTGAACGACCTGGAGCTGTTTGATTGACAACAATATCTTTAACTTCCACTGACGTTTTCCACTCTGTTGATAGTTTCACTCCCAGCAGCAAATTCTGCTGCATGACGATGTGCTTTTTACAACTGTATGTAAGGAGCCAATGTGGGATTGTGATTATTTAATCTATTCTGTTCTTTGCTCTTGCTGCAGGTGTACACCTAAGGTGTGCTATGAGGTCTGGTTTTTGCTGGTTTTTAAAATTCGTATTGTTTTTTTTAAAATTTGTTTTTGCTTTTATATATTTGTGGTCCACTGTTCGTGATGCAGGTGACTTCAAATGAGTTCAAGCCTTAGTTTTATCACCTGCTAGTGTGACTGATGGCCCCCGGCCGCGCGGCCCGGCCCTTTTCGCTCGCCCACAGTTCATGGACCTGACCCGCTTCTACGTGGTGCTGGACACCAACTTCCTGGTGGACTTCTTGCGTACCGAGGTGGCCTACCTGAAGCGTAGCTGGAAAGCCCTGGGCCGACCCATTGTCACAATTACTATCTCACACCAACTGCTGGGTACGTGTTGGTCGTGGCCGTGTTCTCCCCAACCCCTGCCCCCAACGAAAGTGCTTGTCTAGTGAAGGCTGTCTCTTCGGTATGGAATATGGGTTGATATGTCCCCTCCTTCCACCCTCCCCACCCCACCACACCCCACCCCCACCCCACCCTAAAAAACACCCCTAAATTTCACCAGTTACTAACTTCTTTACCAAAATTATCCTTTCACCCAACCCCCCTGCACCCTTCCTTGAATCTCCAATCTCTTACGCCTTTTATTTCTTTCTGAAATCACACAGGCCTACAACTTTTGTCACCTGTTCATGGTGATATTCCCTTTCTATTCCCCCTAGTCCACCCACGTTTTTGAGAGTGAAGGTTCATGGATATGCAAGAACAACTCCCTCCCTTCACTGTGCTTTGCGATAGCTGTAGCTCAACAATGAGTTGGAAGAAATTTGCTGTGTTCACTTTCAGCAGTGGTTTGCACAGAATTCTAGTGAATGGACTCCTGAATATTCAGACTGTACTGTATGTTTCAACACCTGTAGTATATACTGTATACGCCTCAAATTACTGTCTTATTAATATATGAATGTCTTTATCATGACAGCTATAGTATATTCAGCAGTGTTCCTTGCGGCTTTCACTTTTGCTGTTCAACATTTAGCTTTAAAGTTTGCAGCTCTTTTGTATCTCTAGATGTGATGCAATTGTACATTTAGTGTTTGCTTATTGTAAATATATAATGCGTGTGGGTTTTTTTTTCCCTTTTAATGGAAATGAAAAGTCATTGCTTCTCAGGTAGTCTTGTTTACTCATTTTTTGTAGTGCTGGTCATCTTCCGAGCTTTTGTCCCAAGTGGAACGACAATGATGGGTTCATGACAGAGACATTGTCAAAGCTCTGAGCTTTTCGTCTATTCCATAGACCAAGAGACATTTACTGATGCGTGTGTACAGTATAGGATTCTGTGTTTGCTGATTGCTGTTTGCCGTGTGGAGTCTTTGGACTTTGTTGTTGACGATTGTCTCTCTTTTTTTCCATTTCTGAGGTGTAGCTTGTCATGAGCATGAGAACATGCTGTGAGAATTTTGCGATCAATCTGAAAATGTTGTACAGCGGCAGCTGCTTCAGCCTAGCTTGCCAGTGATATTAGATTAAAGCCAGTGCTAATTTTGTACTGAAATTAAAACCGGTGCTAATTTATACTGATCATATCTTCACTGGACCAACCTTCTCTAAAATTACAATTTTCATCTTGTAACTTATCACTTTTCCCCCCACGAGACACTGATCGGTGACAGTAAGAAGCTGTACCTTTTCCCCACGGGACGCCGATTGGCGACGGTGTGATATAGCATGTACCGATACCACATCTGTATCCTGGTACGTGGGGATAAGTGTTGCGCGCTCTGCCTGCTGCGTTGGTGGATAGTGTTAAGTGATGAAAAATAGATATGAAGATCTAAAATACGAAATATCCTCTGTTCACATAATGCATGGTGCGGTTGCCAGATGCATTTGAGCATGAATTGTATCACCTTTCTTTTTTTTTTTTTCTGTCAAATAATATATTGGACAGCTATCACATAGTTTGCCTCTTTAGAAAATAAATAACGTTTCCTTTATATTAGATATGTGCACAGTTTATCGTATCTTAAAATGATTTTTCCTCTTAGCATTCAAATTTGAAGCTGAAATTGAGATCTAATGTATATAGTTTTAGTTTATGAGTGAAAATTATGAATAAAGTCCCTTTTCCTTGCCTTAATTGTACTCTGAGCGACATGTATTTAGGAGAAAATAACTTTGCCGGTGTTGACTGACCCACTATAACTTTGTCAAGCCAGGTCTATTCAGCTGTGACTGACAATGCCTAAACTTTATGTAAGTTCTGTTGGTAGTCCCATGTTACACAGGATCATGTATCATCATAGTTTCCTGAAGGACAGCAGGTAACTTTCAATGGAGTAATATTTATTTTTTTATGAAGGTGAAGTTGAGTCTTTGCGGCTTTGGTGAATACACATTTCAGTAGTTTGTTCCTTCCCGCATTTACCCTTTCCATTCAGTCTTTCATTTTTTTAAATGAATGATAAAAATGAAGATAGCAGAAATAATTTGGAGTTTTGAAATTATAATTATTTTTTTCAAAATTGAAGTTAAAACATTACTTTATTATTAATTTGTCCGACCTGTTGTATGCAGTTTGGCCAGGGTTAGTGTTGAGTTTCCGGGTGTTTTCCTTGTATTTTTCCATTCTTTGATCCTTGGTGCTAATTCCTTGTTATTCCGTTTCTTACAGCAGTATCGGTTGTTTCCTTCTTTCTTCCCTTGTTTCTTTCCTTCTCAACACTCCATCTTTAGTTATTTTGCTCCATACAATGACTGAACAGCATAGCGTAAGTAGCTTTAGTTCACTGAAATTGAAATTCTGAACTCCTCGTGTATAACGTTTGAAGACAGTGCAATACAGTTTACTTTCAATAGACTGTTTTAACTTTTTTGTGGACAGAAATTACACATCAGTGTCCTAATTAAAACTTTTGTATACTGTACCAATTTTTTGTTGGTTTTTTGGGGGGCAGTGGACATTGTTTTGTAGTATGTTTAGATTTGTTTTGGGTGTTTTTAACTGATATATAATGTTAACTATTATATATTCTAATGTATCCTATAACTTTTAATAACTCTTAAGACTATAAGGAGAAGTGAACTGTTTTCTTAGAGTTTTTGAACATTTGTAAATTTTACCCTCGAGTATCCTCTAGAAAGCTGTGTTGGCTCTTTTCATGATAAATTAGGGTAGCCCTTTACTAAGTCACCAAATCATGTTTTTTAAAGAATACATAAGTAAGCAAAACATTACATAAATTCTAAAGCAAATATTTTATAATCAATTTCAAGTGTGCTGAGGAGTCCACCTCTGAAACCCGTCTTGTTGTTTTGTTTTTTGACGCACAGACAACTACCAGCACCCTCCCAATGCATTGTTGGCCACCATCAAGAAACTGCAGAGTGGCTACATCAGTGGCACAAGGTCTGTCAACAACACACAAGCATTCTTATGCACTGTTACAAACTCACACACTTGTATTCTAGCACAGGAGTATGCACACTTGCACACTCTCACATTCACACACACACACACACATGCACATATACACAGACAGACAGACTGACACTCACTCAAACACACACACACATAAACTCTGAAATCTTGAGGACCACTGTACATACACACTAATGTATCCCACACAGATTGGCATATGTTAAGAAAATATTCTTTGGTTGGAAATATAGAATTTACAAATTTACAATCAGTAGTATTGAAGGGGAAAAAAAGCAGATCCATTCCATCGAATCTTTTTGAATCTATGGGATTTTGTTTTTAAGTTGGCAAGAATGTAAAGCATGCTGGAGGGGCTGTCCCCAAGTTTCACCTTTTCATTGACAAAATTGTTAATTGAAAATATTAGTTCAAAACGAATGTTCCCACCTCTTACAAGAAAAAAGCAATGATTACGCTGGTTGCTCTTTTGATAACTTTTAGATAGTGTACAATAACACAGCAATGACAGTTTTTATGCTTTAAGCCACCTCTTACTTCAGTGCTGCTGTGTTTGTTTCAGAGTTCACCTGGGCAAGTTGTCAGACTTCCTCCACACGTCCTGCATGACCAAACTCAGCTTTCTGCGAGATATTGACGACCAGTGTGAGTCCTGCAACTTATTTTTATTTACTAATTTTAGATTTAAAATATTTTTTTTCATCGTTGTGAAGCAGATGGTTTCCCACTGTAATAGGTGTCTGTGGTATGGTGGATAGTCTATTAGCGGAATGGTGCAACAGACATGAGTTTGGGTCTGGTACTCCGTGGGGCTGTACCACTGACTGAAGTGTCTTTAGGCCATTCCCATAGGGGGGACATTTCTCTTTCTAATGCACAGTAGAATTTTAAATGGGCTGATCCAACGTCATGCTCATAACTGTGCCTGAACTACAACCGGGAACTGCTGCTTTTTCTTTCCTAATCCTAACTATCGTCATTTCCCTCTACTTTCTTTGTCTGTTGTGACCCGCTATTTTTGGGGTTCCTTAATAGTCGAAGCAGACTTTGTGCTGTTGAAGGTAGAGAGGTGATCAGAGTAAGTCTGATTCCCTCTAAGGACTTCTTTGTTGACTTCCACCCCTTGGCGCTCCTATGACCTTATGCAGTTGTGAGCACCGCAAAACCTCTACTAAAACAAAAAACAATTGGTTCTGGAGTGGGGGCTTTTTAAAAAATCAAATATCTCCATCTGTCTGCTTGGAGGCTGTACCTCGCTCAGTCCGAGTTGCTTGTGACAGGTGAGCTTGAAGAAGTCAGCCTCCTAAATGATTTTATTGGTGCAGATGGGTACTTAGAAACAAAACATTAACAGTAAAACCAAAAAAGTACTTCCGCTTTTTCTTTACCTCCTTTGTATTACTCTCTATAATGTAACATTACCTTACTCTCATATTCGTGTCTTCATCATGGGTGGGTTTTCGAGGTCACTCTAGTGTAGTTTGCTCCTGCTTCCATATCAAACATGTATTGTGCTTATCTTTCCGTTTCTTTTCTTTGAATATTACTCTCTATTAATACCTTTACTAATCCTTGTCACTTTTATGACCTACAATGTTGCAAGTGCTATTAAACTCTTTCTAAAACTAATACTACAAAGGACTGTGTTTTGGTTTTCTGTTGCCCCTTTTTATGCTTCTCATTCCTCCCTTCCAAAGAAAAAAAAATGTTTTTTTTAATCAGTCCATTATCCATAAGTTAAATGAGATGATTAGACCTGCTCCACTGCATACCAGCAAGAGCTGGGCCATCTTCAGCAGGAACATAACTCACAAGAACATTTTCCTTGGATTAAGGTTTGTGTGGGAAATTTTTATATTGATGTATTGTCACATCACCGCTTCTTTCCTCTTTTCCGTGGTCCTGACATAGCCTTGGAAATGAATGGTTTCTCTCTATTTTTGCTTTGTTGAAGAAGTGTATTTGTCCTTGTGACCTTTTTCTGTAAAGTGTATACACTGAAGATCATTCACAGGTGATTGGAGCGCACCACTGGTAGGTTCTACTTCTTTACTTTCCCTCTGTTGTTTCTGTCTGTCTGTCTGACTTTTTCCCAGCACTAAATGACCTTTATTGTGTGGATGTGCTTCTTGTTGCTCAAACAAGTTGATCATTCCCTGCTGTATGATTGCAGTCCATCATCATTATTATTATTGCGATTATTATTAATGAATCTTTTAAAAATTCATATTAGTTGGGCTATGCTTTCAAACCAAACATGTTTGTATTTTATACAGCGGGAAAACAGGAGAGGATGGTAATTGACCAGCTTATGGCCGGTTCATCTGGACCGCGTCAGCGTTTGCTCAGCGACTCTCGCAGCAAAACCAAAAAACGTCCATCATTTCGCAGTGCATCCCTCAGTGTTCAGGGAATCATTCGCCGATCTCGTTCAATCCAGATTGATCCGGATGAGATTCCTGGTAAGTTACTGTGATGACCTTGAAAGTGTTTGTGAAATGAGATAATTTAGATACGTATGGGTAGTTGGCAGGTGCTCTTGTGTGGTTTGCACCTTCTTACGTACCAAGCAGCTATCATCCTTATTTTTCCTCCTTGTTTTCTTTGTGGGCTGTTTGGTGTGATTTGCTCCTTCTACTTCCTTTTTAATCTTTATTTCGACTGCCTAGTATAAGACTGTTTGGCCATTTTTGAAAAGTGACGTATTACGAAGTCTTACTACTAAGCAGTTGATTTCTTCTATTTCTCTTTAAGAAATATTCTCCTCTGCAGATGCATTAGTCCTTGTCAGACGAACTTTAATTGTAATCCTTATCACTTCCAAGCTATGTATAGCCATGATCGTGTCTAGGCACAACTCTGCATTCTATACGAATTGTTGAGGTTGTGAAAGAAACGGTATTCTATAAATTTGTATTATGATGAGGAGATGAGCTTTTGTTGAATATGTTGTTGTTTACATGCATGATGAACTTTGTATGATTACAGACTTTTCTTCCACAGACTCTTCTCCAACATTTAATGAATTTCTTTCCCACCTCTCCGAGTCCCTTATGCTTGAAATTTTTTCCAAACTTAAATTTTGCAGATTTCGCATTTTTCGTTTGGACATTTTTGTACTCTTCTTTGTATTTAAAGTTGACATTTTTTTCTCCCTTCTGTCTACGTCTCCGTGTTAGTGGTTTGGGGGCACTCTCATTGTGGCCTATTTTTTACTTTTTCTCAATGTTGCTGTTGTCCTTGTCTGCTCCGAGTGAGATTTACCCCCATTCATCATCGTGTTGATTCCTGCCGGCCTGGTTGTACGTAATTCTTTGGTATTGTCTCTTCCCATCAGTGGTACTCTTCAATGCAGGTTTGTCTTTTGTCTTATATGTAGGCTGGAAGTCGCTCTGAACATGTGAACGCTTTTTCAGAGCTTCAAGTCTTACAAAGGCCTAGAGTAGGATGTAATGAGTTACGTGTGACAAACCTGTACTTACACACTAAAATACACAAGCAGGATTGTGTGGAAAGAGTGGAAATTTGTAACTTTGTTGTCGCACTGAATTTCTGTAAAGTTTGATAAGAGACAGAGATTTTCCCTATTTGACAGTCAATTTTGATTATTTCACTCGTCGCCTGAACGGAAAAATGATGATATCCATGGTGAAATAGGCAGCATTCCAATGCCCTGCCAAATGATGACAAGTATAATAGATAGCATTTGCATAGCTTTTATCCCCATTCAACAACAAGCTCTATGTGCTTTACAATCTATACAATTACCCTGGAAGATCATAGAACACTTTGAAACTCAACACTAACAAACTGAGATGGCATTTGTGCTGTCTATAGCCGGATGCCCATTCCCACCTGAGTGAAGTGAGGGAAATTCCTGGAATGTGCATTTTCCAAGGATACACCGGGGTTTGAACCGACACACACCCCACACCGGGGTTTGAACCCATGACCTTTTGGTTGCGTGCCCAGCAGCCAAACCACTAGACCACCTACACTACAAATAGTCTTCTCAAAGCTTATGGTAATGGTGTCTGTGGTTTAATACTCAGGCTTGCCATTGTACGCAGACACATGAATTTGATTCCAGAGTGAAGGAATTGTATTGTGGAGTATCTCTGCCTGTCTGTTGTATCTCACTCAGCTTAGATCGACCTTATGACATACAGGGTTGAAGTAGCCTACCTCCTTAGTGATGTAAAGTATGTCAGTTTGGGTGTAAAACATTTGCAGTCCTTAAAATTTGCAGTGCTGGAACACTTGCACTTTTTTGGTTTTGGTGTTCACATCTGACTTTACAGATTTTATTTGCTAAAATCACTGAGAGATCACTACTTCTGCTGAAATGTGTAATTGAGCTGCTTTATGATTTAATGTAAAACAATCTTTCTAATTATCCTATTGTGTGCTGGTGTCCTCATTTCTTTAAATCTGTTTTATTTAGTTTTGTACATGTTTTTGTTTTTAAGACGTGTGGTTTACCTCAAGATACTCGTGCACTGTGTAAGCGTTTTATAAATACTGACCTGGCCTTTGTGCTTTTTGTCTTCAAATGTGTTTACAGACATTCATGAACTAATGTTTTGTGCAATGACGCACAAGTGTAGCTTTATAGGATTGAGTTTTCTTTTCTTTTCTTGTTTTCTTTTCTTTTTTCTGGGGCCCAACCTGACAGTAAAAGGATTCCTTTAGAAGAGACTGCAGTAGAACCCGGGATACTCCCCTGCGTGCAGTTTTCCCTACTATGTTTGAGTTCATTTAGTGTTTATTTCTTTGTGATGCTGGAAGCTTATGGGAAGTTGTGGGCCGAAGTGCATTATGTATTTCAACATTTTGTAACTTTACTTTGTCCACCCTTATACCTGTCTGGTTTTTTTAGTCTTTGTACAAATGGTTTTTTTACTTTGACTTAAGACTGTATGTGGACTTGGCCTTAAGTTTAGGAGTAAAGATGCATGTAGAATGTTATGTAAATGAAGAGATTTGTGTTCAGACTGTAGTGTGAATGCCTCAGAATGTTTTTCTTGTGTTCTCATGTAGTTAGAACCAGGAATTTGGCACAAGTTGTTTCTATTTCTGAGATGAATATAGTCAATTTGATTATATTTTGACAATATTGAAAATATTGATGATAATGTTAATATATATACATGATAATAGTTTTCATAATAATGATAATTATGAAAATGACAAATCTTTAAGGATGAAACCAACAGATTTGCACTATTTTGCACATGCTTCTATTATAACAGACATTGTTGGATGCCATCTTGTTTGTTCGCTAATGATCTAATACTAGAGAAAAAAGTAAAGATTAAAACACCACACCTAAACTTCTCAAACACTAAAAGCAGTTCCTCACCTACAAGCTCACTTTCGAAAGACCTATGATTCCAGGTACAGTCAGGCAGGAGTAGGTGGGGTAAATGACGCTGTGGAAGAATCAGTGGCCAGGCTGATTGATTTTGATATAAAGCTTTCCGCCATACAAGATTGCCTTTCATGTTCGGCTGGAAAACTTAACTCCTAAATTTTTTTCCTAACGTGAGGACAGTTGAAGAAAGGATGGCTTTGAAGCTTTTGGGAGGAAGGGGGGGGGGGGAGGGGGTTACCTGCAGGTACAGTATAACAGAATTTGCTCTTCAGCAAAGTTCGAGTGAAAAGTATTACAAGTTTTAAAGGTCTAAGCTACAACTGGTAGAATTTTTTAAAGTGTGGAACTTTAAGAGTAAAAAATAAAGGAATGAATTTCTTACCTTTCAAATGTCACAATCATTCTGATGCGTAGGCCAACGTTTTTGTGCAGTTTTTATTTCTTTCTGATTTGGTTTGAAAATGCTTTAAAAAAGAAACATTTCGCTGAAATAAAGTTACCTTGAGTAAGGCAATGTGATTTTTTTTATTGATACCAGTTAGTCTTGCATGTTTTTTCCCATACAAACATATGCATGTGCGTGCGCACTTGCACACACATGCATGCACACACACATACAACACAACACACTACCCAGAGTGTGTGGGGTAATAGTTGTGATGCTGTTACTTTTGTACTAAAGTGTTATGCCTTCCCCCCATTTCTGTCTGATCAAGAGTTGCACTCTCTGATTGGTTTGGGTGACACGGATCGCACTAGAACGTCGTCAGGTATGTCGTCAGGACCAGGAGCCTTTCCTTGTTGCGCACCTAGATGTCCACTCATGTATTTCTCATTCACGTCCTGGCCACGTCTGTATGGTGCCTCGGGTCAGGGTTCAGCAGTTAACTCGGTTTAAGGAAATCCTATGTTGCTAAGAACAGTTTTTTTTAGTGTTACTTGGAGAAACCCGTATTTCCCAGCACTGAAAAGTGTTGAATTGTTTGTTTTCCTAGGGAATACAACATTTACGATTTGCTTAAGTATAAGCCCAACACTTGGGAAAATAGCTACTTTATGAGTTGCAAAGTCCTTGACATCAGTGTCTGTTTTGTAAGTGTTAGGAACAGTAATACAGGCTGAAATAGAAAGTTAATACATTCAAGTTTCTAAATTTGTCCGGTGAGAAGCTGTATCCCTCTTACTTTAATTAGGTTGGCCGACCCCAGAAATGACCTAAATTTTATAATTTTTTTACTATCAATATGTCTACTGAAATAGAGGCACTGCACAGCCGGTTGTTGTGATGCAGCGCAGGTTTTTTTTGAGTCAGGATAATTGTATGGGGATTTACTTCGCTGAAGAATATGGAAATTTCTGTTCTGAATGTATAATTGAAATAACACATCGCTTTGCCTTTTACTCCAGAATAAACTCTGAATGTTTCACACGGCTGTATTAACCGACTTTGTAGGTTATGATCATGTCAACTGCACCTGAGGCATCGTCAGTGTGTCGACTTTTCTCCTTGCTGTGGCACTCACACCTGCTCTTTTCCTCTAGCCTCGATGTGTGTGTGCGTGCACTAACATTACATTTGTAAAATGATTTTCTTTCACACTGCAGGTTAAATGTAACGTAATGTTTTAATGATTCGTTTTCTTTTAACTAACTGGTTGATGCGTGGCACTTTTATAATCTTTCTCCAATAGAGAACTGGAAGATTGAATGTTTTTTTAGTGTGATGTGACCATTATGGTTTTGGGGTTTGGGTACTTTAAAAGGGGAGGGGGGGAGGTAAACTGTAAAAGAATGTGCACATCTAGATAAGATACGTCTTAGAAAGTAACCCTGAGCAAAATTTCGAGTTTCTGAGCCAACTTTTTAAGTCTGTCTGAAAATTTCTACAGATTTGACTTGCTGTTATGTGCCTACTTTCTATTAGTTGCATAATTCCCCTGCTTTAGATTGTCATATCAAAATGCGTGTGTGGCTACTACTTGCTCCGCGCTGTTCTGCCAGATGACTCGGCGCAACAAAACTTTTCTTCCTATTTTTGTTTCTTCTTCAACTGTGTACATGAAGTATGCTGCATTCTTCTGTGAAGTGTGTCTGCTTCTGGGCCTGCAGATGGCTGATAGGCATTGTATTGTGATCTGCTTCTTCTACTATTTAGTGTCCTATTCTGCACCATGTGGAATGCTTCTGTTGTCATGTTGTCTCTACTCAAAGACTGATCGTCCCACCATTGATCGATCATGCTTGTGAATTTGTTTTCCTATAGAAACATTGTAACCTCAGTTTTTGTCAAGTTCTGTATTAGCATCAAATATGAAGTGATAGTTTTCCTTGAATTTCCTTTTATTCTTTTGTTTTTGTTTTAATCACTTATGTTACATTTTACTTCTGAGTGTCCCCATCAGGCTGCATTTGGAAGAAGTTCCAGAGTTGTCTTGATCCTGATATCTAGTATCTGCTTCCGTTTACTTATGTTCAGACTCTTGGGAAAAATTTTTTTTTTTTTTTTTTTTGGTTTAAATTCAGACGACATTGTCATTTGAGATGATCGCCTTGTGTTGTTCTACCATCTCTCTGTTCTGGGTAAAATTCAGAGTAGGGTTTTTCTTCTTCAAGAGTCCTGATGATGTATTAGTTGAACTGTGGTTGGTGGACACTCTCGTTTGCTTCCTCTTACTTCTTTTAGCTTGTTACAATTGTCTTGATCTGCTCTTTGACAAAATATTATAGATAAGGCTCTGTGAACCACCAACTTTCCTCAGCGGTAGTTGAATTTGTCCATGCTATGTGTCAGCCTTGTGGGACCTAGGCACCCGCTTTACACCATCTGATCGTAGAGTGTGCTAGATACTCTTTTGTCCTTTTGCTGTTGATAAACAACATAGGCTATGCATGTATTTTTGCTGGCACGCACACCACACACAGCTTTGTATAGAAGTGATTCAGGGACCCAAAAAATGTGCTTCAAAATCTTGCAATTTGTACACTGTATATACTCAATTTGTTAGTGGAGACTGAGTGCAAAAAGAAAACTTCCAAAGATAGATAGAGAGACTGGTAGGACGTGAGTAAGTGAAATGAAAGAATGAGTAAGAATGACTGAACCTGTTTGTCTAGTAGTACCCTTTGTGCCTCTTAAGACTATACTATAATTATAGCATGTCATTCACACATCTGTAGTGTGCACTCCTGTAGTGATATTCCCACTCCCTAGAGACTAAGAGTCATGTATCTTTTTGCATGTGTAGAGGTTTTCCCTGAGTTTCCCATACAGTCTTTATGCATTATTCTTCAATGAAAATTTGATCATGTATGTTTTATTTTTTTTTTAAGTAGATCTCTACCTGGAGCTCTGTCCTTTCTTTCTTCAGTAGCACATTTTTCCTACCACTTGTCTCTGTTGAACTGAATGAAACTAAATAGTCTTGTCCTTCTCTTGGCACTTAATTGACCGGAATAGATTGGTAACTGCAATTGGCTGTGTTTGTTTACTTGGGGTTAGTAGTAGTAGTTTCTGGTTGAAAGGAACCTTTTTTATTTAATTATTCTTCTCCCTGCGAGGGTTTTTCTGTCTGTTTTGCCTTTTCCGATTACTAAATGGCCATTATGTGCTCATGTGTCGGGTGAGATGATTTACTATTCCATATTCTCTAGAGTACAACAAGATAGCATACAGATGTGATTTATAACACTTTAAATAGTTACTGCAACAGATCGCAGACATGCCTTGCAGTAGATGCTGATATGAAGTGGCTTTGTTTTTCTCAATTCCATTCTCGAAGCGAGATGCTCAAAGTAATCCTATGAATAACTTTTACACTTGTGCTTGTTTGTAATTAAAAGACATGTTTTTTTTATTGGTCAAATGAAGAAAAGAGAGACTAGATTCTTTGTGTCTTTTGTAACATGTCAGGTAATGCAAGGTCATCACAGTTTGCTTTGTTGATTGAAAAGTTCTGAGGCTAACAAAGGAATCAGAGTACATGCACTGGGGGAGATTTGTAATGTAACATGCTCTTTTCGAATGTTATGTTTTGAATTTTTTTGGTCCCATTCTTATTCTTAATTGTGTCACTGTCTGTTTCTTGTAAGATCTATAGAGACATAAATTTTGAACTACTTACTTTACATACATAATGCAGTCAAACCTGCTCCAACGACCACCTGTCCAAGACGATCATCAGCACAGACGACCACTCCCTCCCTTGTGGATTTTTTCGAAATATAATGACACTATTCAAAAGATTCACCTGTCTAAGACAGCCCCCTTTTCTCCTTCACAATGGTTGGCTGCCTTGTACAATTTCGACTACACAAAATCAGGTTTTGACCGAATTGTCATATTTTGCTCTATTTAATGCGATATTTGCTCTCTTTATGAGCTTTGAGCGCATTCTGTGGTTTCAGGGTTGATGTGCTGATCAATGTACAGTATGAATGGACGGTTTAAAAGGGTTTTTTTGTTTTTTTTTATTTGTCCCTGTGATTAGAATTCATTTGTTCTATAAATACTAATATATTTACAGACTTTGGTATGTTTGTGTGCTTACTGATTGCAGTAACTCGTTTTGTATGCTTGCTTTTGTTGTGGTGACTCATTAAATATGCTCTTTGTTTCACTCACCAGGTTTTGATTGACAGAAAGCTTAAAGAAATCTCTGTCAGCACAGAGGTTCTCATGTCATTTGTATTAATGTGTTTGGAACTACCTAACGGATTATTGTTGTTTTTTCAGCCTATACTCATATTATTGTGTCGATGTGCTTCTGTAATCTCATAGAAACTAAATAGGTTTTTATATTATATATATCTTTGTTCATACTGCATTCATGGAAAATGTCTCTCTCTGTCTGCTTGCCTGGGCAAAAAACGACATCGATACAGGAGGGCACTGAGCCTATTTTGGCTGGTTGGCGAGCACCCTAGTGTGGTTTGTTCCTTCATGTTAAAGATCTATCACCCTTATCTCTCCTCCTTCCTTCTTACTGTCTAGTAGTACCTCTATTCTTGCACTTATATGACCTATTTGTGTTGGTTTCAAGTGCTGTAAAAGTAAAAGTCTTACTTGAACTAATACTGTAGCAGGAATCATGTTTTTTTCCAGGGGGTTCAGTTACTAGTTACACTATGGAACAGGAACGCTGTCATTAAAGGTTGCCATTGTTAGGTACAACTACTGTTATTTCCTTGATTGTTTTTGTCTTTCCGTCTCGCCTTTTCCCAGGCTGAATTGCAGTTGCCCTAATCATGTGGATGTGCTTCTCTTTAGTCAAACTAACTTGTTTTGTCTGGTGGCTTGCAGCCCTTTTAGCAAATTTGTCTCAGAAGGGAGATACAGAAATGACCAGGAAGGACAGTGTGGTTCTAGGTCAGTGGAAGCCTCGCTTATTCATTTTCTTGTTCTTTCCTTCATTTAAAGTTTTTATTACCTAACCAGTTAGGTAAAAGTTAGCAACTCAACAAAATTGTATTAATTATCTGCGTAACTGTGGTTAGGGATAACTTATAAGATAGATTTATGACTTTTTATTAGAGGCCTTAAAGACCATAGGCCTACTTTGCTAAGTTTTGTTATATGAAAAATATAGCTTCTCAAAACTAAAAAAACATGCTGTCATTATACTTTTTAATAATAAGGAATAAGACTATAATTGAATGGGATGTTTTCTCTCACATCTTTCCCTCTGTTCTAGCCAAAAATTTATGAATTCCAGCTGACAATAGAACAGATTTTCTAGAAAGTTCTAAATTAATTCATATACTAACAATTTAGATGGATCATATTAAGCTCTTCAAGTCACTAGTGTGCAGAACATCTGTGTAATCAATGATCATTCCTGACTCATGTGTAATGTCTGGGCTTATGATATAATATGTTATTTTTTCTTTTTCAAGACGAGCCATCCAGGATAGATCTAAGAAAACTAGGTCAGTGGTATGAGACGTTTGGCGATTATTATCTCCCATTTGGTACTCTCTGCTGTTTCTGTACTATCAACTCGAGTCCCATTCTTTTTGTTACTTTGCAAAAAAAAATCCCAGTTGTATGTTTGTCTTTTTTTTTTGCTTCATTGCTCTGAAATTTGTATTGGATTATTACATTGGCTCTTTTTGAAGCTGGTTTTACCACACTTGTTGAAAAACTGGTAATTTACAATGCATTGACTTCTGATTTACAATTATGAGTTGACTTTTTGTTGTTTGTTTTTCTTTATTTGGTTTTGGAGTATGTATATCAGTGCCAGTTGCCACTGTCAGCACTGCTGTGCTCAGTGATAGAAATTGTTTTTCTCTACTTTACAAAGTCCAACATCTGATGCCAAGTTTTTTCTGTGGAATTGTGTTAGCGTTATTACTTTTGGCTGGCTTGGTTATAAATTGTGGTGCGATTCTGTGTAGCAGTTTGGTTTTGTTGACTGAAAACACTTTCTTCTGACACCTCATGTTTATCAGATCTGTTTATTAGCATCAGAGTAAGGTAACGAAGTGGATAATTGGAGGCACCACCATGAGTAAGTACCTAGTCTTTTGCTATCCCTCTTTTGTCTCTCTAGGTGCGTTTCCCTTTTCCCAGCACAAAATGACTGGTATTGTGTCAGTGTTTTTCTCTATAACTCGAACATACTCAAATAAGTTGAATTATTTGAGTCAATTACGTCTGTTAAACTGATTCAGAAGCAAAAAATGAAGTAACTGTGTGAAAAGATCAAAGTTTGGTTGCTCGAGTTCAGGTGAGGGTCATGTTGGGAATAGAGAGGAAAGTCAGTCATTTTGAGACACATCCTAGGTGCAATTGACAAAGCGAAGAGATTGTGTTCAACCGTTATTTGAAAATCATTTGTTTTTTACTACTCTTTTGTTGTTCAGGTTTTGTGTGCTTCTGTACTGATTTACAGTTTGTTTTCTTGAGGATTGTAATGTTTTATTACAATTTGAATGAGAATGTACAAAATTGGTTGCATAATAGTATTGAAATTTTTGGTCTGGAGTAACAGTTTAATTAGCGTAAATATTAGCTTCATAATTTAAAACTCCCAATGAGAGCCCAGAAGAAGAGTAGGCAACTGTCTGAATAAAAATGGGTAAAAATGTTAGACAACTGGGAACCCCTGAACTAGTGAACATTATCTCGAAGATTTGATTTCCACTGAAGGAGGATTTACATATTTTAACAAGATGAAACATTTAATTGGATCTTTCAAACTTTCTGCTATATTTGTTTTTCTTTATTTGTTTTGTTGTTTGTTGGTTTGTTTTGTGTTGTTGTTGTTTTTTGGGGGGTATGTTTTATACTATATGTACAAAAAAAGAATGTGGTGATGCAAGACAATTTATAATTAAGATTATTGCTTTCACATTTGAGGCAATATATCACAGATTTTGATTCTACAGTTACTTCTTTATTAAAATGCTATAAAGTTGTGTTCTGGCAAGATCTATGCTGGTCCACTCCAATGGTGGTTCAAATTTTTGCTGTAACTCATTTTGGAGAAGAAATTTTGTTACTACAACCTTAGTTTTACTGGTTCGTTTTAATTAAAAATGGTACTGTCAGACTGAAAGGGAAAATTACCCCTATGCATATTGTAATTTGCGAATCTCCTATGTTGTTCAAGTTTTCAATAGTGAGTCTCCTATGTTGTTCAAGTTTTTCACTAGTGAGTCTCCTATGTTGTTCAAGTTTTTCACTAGTGAGTCTCCTGTGTTGTTCAAGTTTTTCACTAGTGAGTCTCTTGTGTTGTTCAAGTTTTTCACTAGTGAGTCTCCTGTGTTGTTCAAGTTTTTCACTAGTGAGTCTCCTGTGTTGTTCAAGTTTTTCACTAGTGAGTCTCCTGTGTTGTTCAAGTTTTTCACTAGTGAGTCTCTTGTGTTGTTCAAGTTTTTCACTAGTGAGTCTCCTGTGTTGTTCAAGTTTTTCACTAGTTACTCTCCTGTGTTGTTCAAGTTTTTCACTAGTGAGTCTCTTGTGTTGTTCAAGTTTTTCACTAGTGAGTCTCCTGTGTTGTTCAAGTTTTTCACTAGTTACTCTCCTGTGTTGATGTAGAGAATTTATCTGTGGCTTTGGTTTCCCCGTGTCACAGAGTCCATCAAAGACGAGGATGATAACTCGGATTATTCCATGCCAGGTCGGTGGCTTTTGCTCCAGCTGTCAAGCTTTGGCCCCTTAGTTATTTTTGTTTGCTTTGAGATTTTTGTATTCACTGGTTTCATTTTTACATGGAGGAAGAAGTCAGTTAGTGTCCAAACTCTTTTCAAGGCGCTGTTGGTGATGTTTGACATATTTGGTTAACGTCTTACTGCTGGTTATGAGATTTTGTCTCTCTCTTGGAGCTGTTGGTGGACAGGTGTACTATGTTTTCATTTAATGAGCTATATAGTGTAAAGTGTGGGTGGTTGGTGGGTACTCTGGTGTCATTTGTTCCTTCTTTCTCATCAAACATCTTGTCTCCCCCCCCCCCCCCCCCCCCCCCAGGCAGTGCTACTGTCTGAAGTGTCTTTAGGCCATTCCCAAAGGGGGGTATTAACATGTTCTTATGCTCAGTAGAATTGTACATGGGCTGATTTATCAATGTCTTGCTCATACTGTGCCAGAACAATTTTGGGGAACTGCTGATTTTTCTTTCCTCATCCTTACTATCGTCATTTTCCTCTACTTCTTTTGTATGTTTATCACTCTTGTGAACTGCTATTTCTGGGGTGCCTTCATAGTCGAAGCAGACTTTATACTGTTGAGGCTAGAGAGGTGAGCAGAGTAAGCCTGATTCCCTGTTTGGGCTTCTCTGTTGACATCCACCCCTTGGCGCTCATATGACCTTATGCAGTTGCGAGCGCTATAAAGTCTTACTAAAACAAACAGAACATCTATTGTTCTTATCTCTCCTCTTTCTATTTTGTTTTTGCTACTCTTGCCTCCTTCTATTTTGTGTTTAGTACTCATTTGTAACACTTCTAATCTTCAGCACCTATATGGCTTTATTGTGGTGCAAGTGCCGTAAAACTCTTGCTAAAAACTAAAGTATAGTTCAGTGGAATAAATATCATGTGAGAATGTTTCCAAGGTCTTGGACCAAAATTAGTTTTTCTTGTTTTGGAAAATATTATTTTCTTCTATTCAGACTAGCAGTATAATTTTGGGATATCGTAATGACTATATTCCAATTTATTAGTTGCATGATAAAATGATAAGGAAAGTATAAATATTGATAATTACAGTGAAATGAAAATGCAGTCTTTGGGGATATTTGACTGAATTTTAAAAGAGTTTTTCTGAAGATAAAGCTACTAAAATGATAAAATTGACTATTAGCTCAGTTTACTAGTTGAAGAGAAATTAGGGAAATGAGCTGAAGTTGGCTAAGTGTTTTGTCTCTGCTGTCTTTTTATCTTCCTTTACACATTTTCTTTTGATAATTTTGTCTTCTGATTGATGTATTTGTTTTCTATAGGGTAGAACAGAAACGATGCCGGTGTGAAACAGCGGCTGCAAATTGATATAATTTTTTTAAATGAATTAATAGATATTGTTCCACTAACATGGCAGAGCATTGTGTGTTGCAATGAATGTTTCGCGTTGATCCTAATTTTGTAAAAATGTCCCACTTTCAGCTGTCACCATCACCAAAGACAGAAGTGCAGAGGGTACAGTGCACAGAACAGCAGCCTGGGGGCTGACCCCAGCTTTTGTCTCCCTTTTTGATTTGATGTTGGAGGGTTTTTCCCCAATCAATTTGCTGAACCATTTCTTTTTTCCTGCCTGCTAATTTACTGTTGCTCCTGTCTTCTGATTTCTCTGGTTACTGTTGGAGCAGTTTTATGTTACAGTTTGTGAATGATTAGATATGTCTGTATAGTTTATTAAATGTTTGATTGAATTCATATTAGAACTGATTTATGATTTGAAATCAGATAGATATGGCATTGTACTTAAAATGTTGTATTGCATTAAGGTTTGAACTGATTATTCTGTTATGCTGCAGGGTTATTGCTTTTTAAAATGATTATTGAACTATTATTAATGACACATATGTCATTGTGTATTGAAGTAATCCCCTGGTGCATAATTCATTGCTTTGTTGTTTTTTTTGGTGATTTTTTATATTCTGTTAGTGTGGTATTGCTACCAGCTTGTGTTACATGTGGGGCCCCAAGCAACAGCTTGACATTGATGTTAGTTTTGATTTGTTTAGGGTTTTTTAAATTGTTGTTTTATTATTTATACTGATTTTGTTTTGTTTTTGTCATTGCCTTTTTTTTGCCCTTAAGACGGGGAGAGAAGAGACCCAGAGCTGGGTAAGACATTTCCTCCTTGTATGTCTTTCCTTTCTGCTTTGCCCGTTGGACCCCAGAACGACAAGGCTCTTGACTCCATGTCTCATCAAGAATCCGATCACTGAAGCTCCAGGCTGTTTGAAGCCCCACTGTTTTTCTTTCTCTTGCAATGAAACAAAAAAAAAGAATTCAAAGACACTAGATCAGTGCTTGCCCACCTGGGCGGGTGGGGACCATCGAGGAGGACGATTTAGTAATTTTTGTGGATGGTGGGGATTATCCATGTAGTGACGGATGTATTAAAAAATTGGAAATACCTGTACATTGCAGGTAGGTAATATGAAAAGTTTAGCCTTTTAACACTTTGCCTTCATATTTTAGGGAAAATCCAAAGAAACTGGGTGGTAAACATCGCCAATCGATGAGATGAGGCGGCAAAGTGTCAAAGCTAACAAAATCTGGCGCTGATTATTATAAAAAGGGTTGACAAGCACTGCATTAGACAAAGAAGTCCTTCAGAAGTATTATGTTGGTAGAATGGTATTTAGTTCAACTGAACTGCGATGATAGAATGAGCCTTGTTGTTCAACGGGCGTGCCTAGCCGTGCTCTGAATAAGAACGCCTGAACTGACATGCATTATTGATTCTCATGAAGCATTTTGGGTAACTTGAATCATGATTTGTATCGGTGGATTTTAAAATTATTTTATTGAAAGTATTTTCTGCATCTTCTTCAACAGCAAAAAAAAACCCCAGACAAAACTAACCTAGTCTTGTTCAGGCTTGTCTGATTTTATGATCACATAATCCCTGACCATGTTTTTCTTCTTTTTTCCCCTCTTTTCCTCCTCTTCTCCCACTTTGTCCTCCTCCTTTATCTTGCCTCCCCCCCCTCCCCCCCAACTACCCTCCTACTATTCCACCCGTGCTCATCTCGCCCATCCTCACCCCACGATCACCCATCATCTCTGACCTGCCACACATTGCCTTAAGAAGGTTCTAGTGGCCTGAGCAGACAGAACTCATCAGGCAATACCTGTGGCTCTCCGCTGAGCCCTTCCTCGAATCACAACTTCAGCTTTGATGGTAAAAACTTTCTTCTTCTCTTTCTTCTTCTTGGTACATCTGCATGAATGTCTTTGGCTACGGTGGGGTTTTTTTAATTTCTGTTGGAGCACCGTCTTTATGTGAGTAGACTGTTGTAGTTGACCAACATTTGTATATATCCAAGATTTTAGAATTCGCTTCATCTCTTTACTTTAGTTCAATCTTGTCTTCCTCTGCACCTGAATGTTTTCTGTTACTTTGCTATGTTGCTATGTGTCTGTCTGTTGTCTTCTTTTTGTGAGTAAAGTGGTCCCTTTCAGTTAAACTTTATTATTTTCTCTTTTTTATTTGGTGTCGGTCCTTGAGTCCCACAGAACCATTAGGTCAACATGTTTGATTTTCTACCTTGGAACTGGAGCCGTATTTAAGACTCACTTCATTATTAACATCCTCAAAGGGTGTTGATAGACTATCTTGAAGGGATAGTGAGTCTAAATTGAATATTTCAAAGTGGATCAGTTTTGTAAAATTATGACTTCGCAGGGAAGGGAGTCTTGGCTTAGGCAGATGGAAGGTGGGAGGGTTTTGGGGGGAGGGGCAGGGTGTTACAGCTCTTGCATGTGTGGAATAAAAAGTCAACATTTGATTTGACATAATCCTGCACCCGATGAATGTGATGAGCACTTTCTGCCCTTTAGCTATGAGCATTACCTGTACATTCAACTGGAATTTACGTCTTTTACACCACCCTTTATGTGATGATACAGGATGTCAATACTAATACCCCCCCCCCCCCCCCTGAGAAAAAAAAGTGAACCAAAAGGGACCACTGTGTATGCTGTTGTGTTGTAGATCTATTGAAATGTCTATTATTTTGTATTCATACACTATGTAGTTTTCCTTTCTCTTCATAACATCGACCTCTCTCTGTGCTTCATTATTACTATTTCATTTTTACGCTAATCATGTCCTGGCATGATTCTTTTTCATCTGTTCTTTGATTTTAGGATCAGTTTCAGGGTTCTTCAAATTGTTTGTGATGTGTGTGGATTGGTTTTGCATGAACCACTTTCTCTTTTGTTTTATTGGTAGGTTGAAATGGAAATAAGGGAAGGAGGAAGAGTGATTGATCTAGGTTTTAGAGGAAAGAAATAGTTCTAAAGTATTTCTGCAGACTAGTATAAGACCAGAATACATTTTGCTCAGTTCATGAAAACAGGATGGCAATAATTGTCATTGTAGATTTAGATGGAAGTGGTGATTTCACTTCGCTTACCAGGTGTTTAGTTGTACTAAGCCCAGAATTTTGATAAAATATAAAACTTTTTTATCTTCAGTTGACTCTATGTGGTATCGGATGGATGTGCTCAAAAATTGTTTTTATAAAATTCAAGTTCTAAATATTCAAAAAAGCACGAACAGATGCATAATATATAATCTTTAAAGGAATGGAACAGGGTTGTTTTTTTCTCTCCTCAGAAAAATAATTATGTTTTCTGGGTTTAGAACAGTTGAACGTCTTGCCAACAATTTAAGGGTTTTTAAGTTTATAGTGATCTATGATCTAGAGTTATAAGTCATTTGGTTTACATTTGAACATTCATCTTCATTATACAATTGTGGTAAGATGACTTTTGTAGAGCTTTAGCGTGTAATTTTTAATAAGTCAATACATATCATTATAAGGGATCTTTTTTTTTTCAGAATAAAGACAAGTTTTTTGTTTTCTGTGATTAAGTTAAAAGTTATAGATTACTGTTGTTGATAATAGATTAACGAAGTGGCTAGCCGTACTTAAGTACGGTTAGCCTGAGAGTCTAGCCATACTTAGATCTAGGTTTAGCCCTGTTGACTCGAACCTGTTGAGTACACAGGTCCCATTAGATCTGGATCTAGTAGTTATTCAGGTTTAAATAATGCAAGTCAGGAAGGCACCTTTTGGTTTTGTCTGAAATACGAATACTCGAATACTTTAGGCTTTGCAAACTAAAAATTTCATTTACAATTCAGCCATCTAGTACGGGTAGCCTGCCAGTCTAGCCGCACTTGTACGGCTAGCCTAGCCGTCTAGCCGTACTTTGCCTGCCAGTCTAGCCGTACTTATCTTAGGCCCTATTAACATTAGGAAACAGGAGGTTTAAAATACATGCTCTGTCATTAAGGCACCTGGTTTCGTCTCAAATACAAATACTTTAGGTACTGCAAACTAAAAATTTATTTACAATTCAGTATGCCTTTTTTTAATGGTCAGTCTAGCCATCATATTAAGAATAAGTACGGCTAGCCTTGCAGTCTAGCCGTCATTAAGTACGGCTAGCCTCTTCCATAGATTAATATATGTCCATACAAGATTGCTTTTTTCTTTCTAGATTCTTTGTTTCTCATTACTATGTGCGCCCACCCTCTCTCTTCCCCCCACTATTCCCTTTTGCACTCAGTCCAGTCATTTTCCTTTTATTCTCTCCTCTGGTATCTCCCAAGTGGCTCTATACTTTTTGATGTTTCATCTTTCTTTTTTCAATGTTCTATATTTTTCTCTAGCTTGTGAACTTTTTATAAGTTTGGGTTTGTTTTCAGAGATATTTTGAAGACAGGACACATGCTGGTCATGTCATGTTATCAGTTTCTTTGTTAATGATTCTTCGCGTTTATTTCATTGAAGGAACAAAACACAAAACCTGTAGCATGATCAGTGACAAGACATTTTCTACCCTTTTCTTTTACTCTCCTTCCTCATAAATCCCACTTACTGTTAGAGCATATTGTATTCTGTAGAGTTCTATAGACGCTTGCTAGGAAACGGTGGCCCACATTTCCTAAATTATTAGATAATTGTTTACTGATTGTATTTGATATGTCGATGAGTTTGACCCTCTCTCCATAATGGGGAAACAACTGAGATCTGCCGATATTTATAACTATGGTTTAGTGTTCTCTTTGGCATTTTTATTTGATACACTTGTTTGCTGTGTGCTTGTTTTATGCTTTGAAAAGGTGAAACAAGTTTCTGTGAATACACAATTAAGTTCCATCTTATCTTGGTTATTTTGATCTCAGCAAAGTTTTTATATAAGTCTTACAAGTTGCACATATAGGCAGCAAGTTAAGTTGAAGATATCTGTAAACATCAGCATTTTCAAAATTTAAATAATAGATTTAAGGTACAGGCATTTATTATGCCCACCAAATTTTAGGAAAAAAATGAAGTTTTGGTAAATGGGGATGAAGCTGTGGTACAGGCAAGCAGATATTTATAGTTGTTGAGGAAAACTAGCATAAACAATAATACAGTATGTTGCCCGTAGACGTTCCGACTTCCTAGAGTTAAGTCAGCTCTACTCTGTTTTGGTTCAGCTCTTTAAAAAAAAATTCTCATTTTCTATCAAATGTGGATTATCGTTTCATACAAGAGGTTAGAGAATTCTTTTCATCTTCACACTGTGCCTTCGTTCGTTAGTGTTCAGAATGTGTTCTTCGATATTTTTTCCTTTTGTGCTTGTAATTGTATGCTGAGTTGGTCCAAGGTTGAGATCTGATGGCAGCATTTGCTCCTTCAGTTTTTTCACCAGAGGATCCAGTCGCGCGAGAGTTGGTTCGAAGCCTTGACCATAACAGAGGGACTACAGAGTTTTGTGGGGATTTGGGTAGAGCTTTTGTATAATTTCACTCATGCTTACTCTAACATTCAACAACCCTTTGTTTATTTACTTTTCACAGCACTATGTTTAACTAAATAAGCACAGGACCATCTCTAGATACCCAAACTGTAACAGTCCCTTTTATACCCAACACTTGTACACTGATTGTTGAAGTATACTATAAATTTACTGCACCAACGAACTCCCAAGTTTGTATATCCATGTGTAAGTCTGCTTGATGCATGCCCCTGGTTTTTTTGCTGGCTGAATTTGTTAATTTGCAGAGACCTTCTGCTGTATAAATGTTTTCTTTTTTTTTTCAGTTTCAAATTGATCTGGTTCCTGTTATACATCTAACAACGATATGCTGCTATTTTACACCTTTAGTTTTGTTCATTTGAATTATGACATTTTCTGGTTTCATTCTCTAGTTCGTAAGACTAAGGTGCATAATGTTGTGATTTTACCTATACTTTTATGTTTGAGCTTAAAATCATAAAAGTTTTAGAGTTTTCTTGTAAAGTAAGTCTTTTGATATACTGGTCTTTGATGGGGCTCCTGTGAAAGCATATTGCTTTTTAAATCTTTTATTACTGCGAGTTACTTTTTGTATTTTATGAGGTCTTTCATAATCGTAGTTTTTACTGGGTCAACTCTGAATCATATAGCCATCAAGAGTGCCCTGTGACCAGAGAGTTAATGATCACAATTATACAAAATGTGTCGATGGGATGAAAAACACCTACACTACAGGTAGAAGCTACTTGTCCTGAGAAATGTGTAAAGAGTGATAAACAATATTAAGCAGGGAATGTTACCTGTCATATAATCGTGTTTAGCAAAATCTATAAAGCTGCTTACTTATACTACGATTCTGACATTTACGAAAGATTTTGGGAAGACAGTCCAACGTATCAGCTTCATGTACTAATAAATATTAATGTCAATAGTAAACTTATCACTGTTAGACCGTTTCATTTGCACATTATAATTGTTCGAATAAAATGTGCTTTGAGTTTTTCATTTTTGAATGTTGGTCAATCTGCAGGGTATGAAGTAGCAGTAATTAGAAAATAAAATCTCCATACATTATTGTTTCAAAACATGTTAATAAATCCCTATTCTTTCTTTCCTAGTAAAATATTTTATGAAACGTTGTTCTGGCCTGATAAACTTATTTAGTCTAATTGTTAAATAGTCATAGTATAATCAAAACTTCAGGTTTTAAAAAAAATGGTATACTTGAGTTTATGAGGCTTTCGCATACAAAGAATTTCACCATGATGAAATTATACTTTGTTTTGTTTTTAACACTTTGCCATCACTAGGGTCATGTAGTTAAAAACCCTTGCCATCAAAGTCAAAGGCATTTTGGGGGAAAACCAAAGAAACTGGGTGATAAACATGGGACGCCAAAGTGTTAAAAAGTAATGTGCTTATTTCTTATGTATAGTTTACTGAGACTGAAGATGTTTTCTGCCCAAATAGTGAGAGAAAATAATTATTCTTTTGATGCTTAGTTTCTTATTGTTTGATAATAATTATATTAACCTATTTTGTCAGTGTGTGCCTCTTTCCACTGTCTCTGTGTTTCTGCTTGTATGTGTACTCTAATTTATGGGGTGTCTTTTCAGCTGCTCAACGCATCTCCCACCATCTGAAGGATGAGACAGACATGAGCGCCAGCCCCTCAGACAGCCCGCACACGTCGCCCAAAACGTCTCGAAAACACCTCAAATCTGTGTCGGAGGTGGAGGACACAGACACCACTGAGCTGGTGGACCAGCTGAAGCAGACGTCGAACCTACAGGAGCAGGCAGACATCATACACTACTTGTTTGTTACCAAGTGAGTGGGGGATGGGTTTGAGGAAGAAGGAAAACGAGGAGGAGGAGAGGGAAAAGGACAAGGAGGAGGAGAAGTAAGAAAAGCAGGCAGACATCGTACACTATTTGTCTGTTACCAAGTGAGGCTTGTGTTTAGGGAGGAGATAGAGGAGGAGGAAAGAAAGGAAGAGAAGCAGACAGACATCATACACTATTTGTCTGTTACCAAGTGAGGCTTGTGTTTAGGGAGGAGATGGAGGAGGAGGAAAGAAAGTAAGAGAAGCAGACAGACATCATACACTATTTGTCTGTTACCAAGTGAGGCTTGTGTTTAGGGAGGAGATGGAGGAGGAGGAAAGAAAGGAAGAGAAGCAGACAGACATCATACACTATTTGTCTGTTACCAAGTGAGGCTTGTGTTTAGGGAGGAGATGGAGGAGGAGGAAAGAAAGGAAGAGAAGCAGACAGACATCATACACTATTTGTCTGTTACCAAGTGAGGCTTGTGTTTAGGGAGGAGATGGAGGAGGAGGAAAGAAAGTAAGAGAAGCAGACAGACAGAGGGACACCACTTGTCTGTTACCAAGTGAATGATGGCTGGGTTTTAAGCAGAAGATGGAGAAGTGTTTTTAAACTAAAGGAATGGAGTGGTATTGATTGTAAGGGATTGTTGTGATATTTATCCTGTGAGGTTGTGTTTATATCCTAAAAGTGAGTAGCATTAGGATGTGTGTGTTAATCCTAGGGTGTATGTTGCTGTCTTTATCCTAATGATGTGTGTGACTGTTTTTATTCAAAATGTGTGTGTGTGTGTTTATCCTTATAGTGCGTGTGGCTGTTTATCCTTGGGGTGTATGTTGCTGTATTTCAGAGGCCCCGACTGGGACACCCACATGGAAGAGAACAAGAAGGTGCCTGTGAAGGAACTACTTATAGAACTCTATGAGAAGGTAAGTGCCCCACTCTCAGCTGGACGTTTTCATTGAAGTTATCTATCCTAAGTTATGCCATTCCTTTCCCCTCAAACATAAAAACTTGTGGTTTTCGTTTTTAAAAAAAGCTGCACATAAAAATGCTCAAGGCTCTGCTGGGATAGCAATTGTTGTAAAGGCTGTTTGAGTGTGGATATGGGCCATATAAATCCAGTTACTATTACTATTATTATCAGCACTGAAAGTTAGTCAGAACTTAGTTCATTTTTCAGGGGGGAGGGGTTTGCAAGGCTGTTATTATGACCCTTATTGTGTTGGATGTGCTTCTCTTTACTCAAACTCAGCCTCTCCTTAACTTATATCAATGCTCACTGTTCTCCACAGGCTGGCCACTGGAAGCAGTGGTGGCTAGTGCGCCACACAGCGGGAATGCTGAGGAAAAGAGTGGAAGACTTGGCCTTGGTATGAGCGCTTTTTCTCATTTTAGAATACAGATGAAATTGTTCACAATGGCCGCCCTTTGTCAAGGGGAAAAGTGGTTATCTTGGATAGTGTTATAATATCTTTTTTTAAACACAAGGGGGAATTGTGCTGTTATCGATTCGGTGTTGTTGATCCAGAGGGGGAGTTGTGAAGTGGTTGTTTGGAGGGTGATGCTGATAGGGTCTACTTCTTTATATGTCCCTCTGCCGTTTCTGTCTGCCTTGCTCTTTTCCAGCATTTAGTGACTGGTTTTGTGCTGACATGTACATCCCTTTTCTTTAAGGATAGGCTTTAGAATTTATGTATATTTATAAAACGACAAGCCCTGATAGCTTGTGCCTGCCTGCCAGTCTAAGGAAGAGGCCACTGTAGTCAGTGTCTAACTTGTCAATGCTGAACCCAGGCCTCAAGAGAGGGGGAAGTACTGAAATGGAAAATAGGATTGAACATTTGGGCCATGGGAGTTATTGGAAAGTTATGTGAACTGTAAGAGAGTAACATGACCATAAATAAGCACTTTGACCTTTTATACCCTGACCATGCTGAGACTACCATAACCTGTGTGTCTGACCTGCTTTGTGAGTCACGCCTATATTAGATGAAATCACCTTATTTTTCACGGAACTGCACGCTCACAACATCAACATCATCACAGACATCTTAGCAAGACCTTGGCCGAAGTAGATGTATATAACTGTTCTGGTTGGATGATAAATATGGGCTTTAAACATCTAACAGTGAGAGGCAATCTTGCTCACTGGTGTACCAATGGTTAGGTGCTCGGACAATTTCACTTGCCATTGGTGTACTGGTGGCCAGGGCTCAAGGGGTTAACTTTGTCATTTCAAACCTGTTTATGAATAAACAGTTTAACTTCATGATTTAAAAATGTTCATCTAAAAGCATTTTATTTTTATCTTTGAGAATTGTTCAGGAATAAACATAATTTTAACTCCATCCTTTGAAAATGTACTTAAATAAGCCTTGTCTTTCCTTTGCCCCATCTTCCTTTTTAACTTTTACTGAAGTGTCTGACGTATTATTGTTTGTTCTGTAGGCTGCCACAGATCTGCTGGTGAGACAGAAGCAACTCTCAGTGGGCCTCCCCCCGGACAATGAGACAATCATCACCAGGTGAGCGGGAGGAAGGGAGGGTGTAGAGAAAAAAATTTTAATGGAAGAGAAGATACAGCATTCTCGTCCCTGTGGTTTATTGGTTTCATATTTCGCCATGGCTTGCAGAAGACTTGAGTTTGATTTCGGAGTTCGGAAATTTTTTTTTAAAGAGTATCTCTTTCTGCTGGGTTTCTGTATCGCTCTCAGCCTGGGTTGGTTCTGACTGGCAGGGCTGAACCTGTCCTGCTCTGAAATTATCTTAACTGTGTGGAATGTGGCATTTGAAAAAAGATGCAGTGTAATGGAATTTGTCAGGTTTCTTATCAGTATATGATGAATACATTTCGTGAGGGGCACTGTGAAGATTTTTTCCTCAGGATGCAGTATCAGATTCAGGTCCTCTAGGACTCAAACCCACAACCACAGTTTATACATTCAATAGCATTTATACATTGTATCTGTGTATTTCATTAGGACAGTGTGATGCCACCAGTTTGATGTTTATGTTTTTGTATTTGGTTAGAGATGCCGAATCTCAGGATAAATCCGGAAACCATATTCCTTGTAGTCAGAATTTGCTTGAGTACAGGCTGATCATTGAGAATTCGTTGCACCTTCTATGAAAACAATCTTGATACAAAATGTATGAAACAAATGGTCCACAAAGTTTTGGCACTTTCTACCCAGTGTTTGGAAAGTTGAGGATTTTTTTTTTCACAGCCAGTTGCCATTTCTGATTAATGTTTCTGTATTTGACCTAGTGCTGGGCTCACCCTTACAAGAATCTCTTGTCTGAATTCCCCAGCCCTCTGCCCCCTGATGAGTTGGCAGCCATCATCTATGAAGCCTGTGGTGAGGATCACAGCACGGCATCACTTACACAGGTCAGCCAGTTGTCTGTTCAGTGTAGTTCCCGTCAACCTTTTCATAGCCAGTGCCCACTATTGTGACCTTTGACTTGCTAACATTTTTGCAATGTCCAAAATTGATCCAGCACTTTGTAAGTGGTGCATTAAATAACACGTGTCACTACCCAGGTTATCCCTGCTGTCGGTCAAAACTACCAAATCGTCCACGAGTGGATGATACAGCTCAGGGTAGCAAGCACAGATTTAAGTGGTTGGTGATGGCTCTGGCATGGTGTACTCCTCGTTGTACTGCTTTTCAGCGTTATTTTTTTCTTTATCTTTAATATATATATATATATATATATATATAAAATAAATGTTTGACCCTCGGGGACAAAATGTTGTCCAGCTTAAGCCATAAATTCAGCTTTTGAAAATTTTCTGACTTCGCTGTGAGCGAAATTGTTGATTCTTACAAGAGGTGTGAAAGGTAGAATTGCACAGTTTTACTGTTTGTTTCAGCGTGTGCCACTTTACCTAAATATTTTCAAGATTTTTTGTGAGTTGCCACTTTTACCAATCGATCGTATGGTACAGGGTGAGTGAAAAACCTTGGCATTGTTCAGTTTTCTTACCACAGTGACAAATTGTAAATTTTATTTTGTTATGATCATCACTCAGGAGCTGTTAGTGTACCTGGCCATGTTCATTCGTACGGAACCACAACTGTTTGACGAGATGCTGCGGCTGCGAGTGGGGCTCATCGTGCAAGTCATGGCGTCAGAGCTGTCCCGGACTCTGCAGTGTTCTGGTAGGTCACAGGCTGATCCCACACTTGGGCACTGTATTTGTGAAAAATTAAATTTTTTTGGATAGGTTGTACTCCATTCTGATTGTTGTCTCATTCTTCTTCTTCAAGCATCAGATCTGAGACAGAAATTGGCGGTCATGGTTCACCCCTCATTTTTCTGCTTGAATGGTCTAAAATATCTTGTATTATCCTGTTCTTTTCTTATTAACTATTTACTCATCTGTTTTTCTTATAAGGAGCTTAACTCCAGCCTTTTATTTTGCAGAGGTCATGGTGTGATTTTCACAGCTCTTTCTTTTAAGCATGTTTTCTAATGTTGCCGATATAGTGTCCCTGCTTTTGACCTTTTCCAGTTATCCTGCTTCTGTCAATATTGTGTACAGAGATTTGTTTCATGTGAAGTGTCTCATCTTTTTGTTTAAATATTGCATTGTAAAATCTAGTTATTTTACTCTAAAATTTAAGCTTTTCCATGCTGTAGCATTTGAGAACTGTTACCAGACTTTTATATCTGTTTTTGTGGGTAGCTGGCGGGTGCTCTGGTGTGGTTTGCTCCTTCTTTCCTATCAAACATCTATGGTCCTGATCTCTTCTCCTTTTTTGTGTTTGTTACTCTCTTGTAACACCTCTTATCTTCTGCACTTATATGACCTTATTTTGTTGAAAGTGCTGTAATACTCTTACTAAAACTAAAATCTGTTTTTGTCCATTTGTATGTGTGAACATAGTTGATGTGCAGCTGATTGTTGACCCTCTTTTGCAGTTTGCTTCTTCTTTTATTCAATGTTGTTATTGTCCAAACCAGGTCTGCTCCTGGGGAAACGTTGCTCAAAACTCTAATAAACTATTTCTGTTTGTAGGTGAGGAAGCATCAGATCACCTCCTCAACTTGAGTCCCTTTGAGATGAAGACGTTGCTGCACCACATCCTCAGTGGAAAAGAATTTGTCATCAGCAGCGGTAAGTCACGCCTTACATCACTCACTGTGAATATTGCGTGTATAGTGTACAGTAGGGTTTTATTCCTGTGTGAGCTTTTACCGTGTGAACCTCTTTCATGACATTACTAGAAGATATTAGTGACGGGTATGTCTTTTATTGTTTATCTCAAATGGAAACGAATAGGATTTTACACTGTTATAAGTGAATGCTGTGTATGAAATACGCCGTTATCTGCAGAGTCACCTCCGTTTACTTTTTTGTGGTAGGGGTATGAAATAATTACATGTTATTTCATAAAGGCAGCTGAAAGCACTCCAGCATCTTGCATTCTTTGACAGGTTTCTCTGAGTAAGGTTGAACTTTGTATCCTTTGGGTCTTTGAGCTAGGCATTCAGTAAAGCATTGTCATTTTGCAGGTGGTTAATATGTTTGTAATTGGTGATATGAGCAGTCTTGGTTAAATGTTTACTGCTTGTTTGCTGTGTTGCAAGTTGCAGAAGGTACTTCTTCAGGTCATAAATGACTTTTAAAGTTTTCACAACTGACCTTTTATTAGGGAAAATCCATTCGTTTACTCATATCAGGGTTGTCTACTTTGCCTTATCGTTGTTAATCTGAAATAAGGAAGCCTTTACTGAGCTATAGTCGTAACGTGAAAATAGGAAGTGATCTGTGAGCTTTTTAGCCGTGGAGATAATGTGTGGAACAGAGAAGGTGAAACAGGACACAGGATGACCTGAATAATCAGATTGTTAATTTGTTGAGTGCGGTAAATAATGCCAGGATGTTGACACTCCTGATAGGGAAATCCTGTTATGTAACATGGTATGTTCTTGGAGTTCAGTCGTCACAACAATGACTGAATATAGATGTTACAAATAGGGTTCGGTCGTCGCAACCGTGACTGAAAATAGATTTTACACATAACCTTCATTGATTACTTTGGTACAGCTCTTTATGAAGTGTTTATTTCAGTATGGCAGTGATACTGCAAAGATGAAGCCCAAAATATGATATTATGCTTGATAATGAACACAAAATGTAATAATAGAGTATAACACAGAGTTGAAAAGCATGTTTGAAGATTAGTTTACTAGCATGTGTGCTCAGTTTTGATATGAAAGCTGAAGTAGTCAATCACATAAAGAATTCATATTTTGCTTGTATGATAGTTCCTAGGTTTGAATGTTTTACTCAGTTTATTTAGACTGACACTAGTTGAAATAGGAATACGACTTTATTCAGTAGCCCAAAATAATTAAAATTTTGCCAGGGTATTTTCAAGAGAAGTTATTCTGATTTTATCATTGCTTCATATGATTTTTTTTCAAATGTACTGCTAAGAAGACAATAACAGTACATGTGATCTGTCTGTTTTTATATCCGAGGATATGCCACCCAATATCAAAAGACTGCGTCTCTTTTATGTAATGAAAAAAGCCAGGACATGGGGAAATTTCAAAATAGATGTCTGCCCAGTATTCTCTTTCCTTTTTTTTGTTTGTGTCTTCGTTTTGCATGGACCGCTCCTGACCTGATGTTTTGTTGTTTCAAAATGTGGAAATGAAAGTATTCTTATGGGCATCATGAGTAGCAGGGGTTTGCCTCTATCATCTGACCAGATTTGCAGATGTAGTAAAGGAAGACATCTATAAATGTTTGTTTCCAAGTTTGTTTGTTTTTTCCTTCTTGAAAAATGATGTCATCATTTTTTTTATTTTTAGTTATTTTTAGTTATTTTTGTTAGATTAATTTACTTTTTCTAGCTGAAGAAAGTTTAGTGAAGGCTCTTGAAGTGTACTTGCTTTTGAAGTGCAACTATGTAAGGAAGATGAGTGGAAGCACTGTGTACCACTGAAAACGATTCCCAAACCAGGTGAGGTCCTAGATCAGTAGTTGTCAACATTTTTTTAGCCAAGCCCACTTCTGCCAACTTAGAAAGGCTAGAAATTTTGTACCTCTGACCTACATGGAGCATTAAATAATACCTGTCACTAGTTGGGTGATCCCTACACAGCCCATTAGGATTACCAGCAGAGCTGTTAAATTACTTTTAAAAAGGTACTTAAGTACAAATTTAAGTACTATCTAGGAAATACAATCTAGAAAATGTTTAAGTACTTCCCTGTAAAATGTATTTTAGTACAAGTACTTTTTAAAAAAGTACTTATGAGTACATTTTGAATACTTTCTACTAATAATGCTAAAACACTTCAGTGCTAATGCAAAACCTCATATTCAATTACAGATCCAGTATAATTGATAAATTAGATAATTTATTATTAAAATGTAAACAGTATACAAATCGTTTGAATATGTACACTGAACATTAGTATACGTGGAAGTGGTCCTTAAAATTGAAAAAATCCCAAGCAAACAGACACAATTAGTGAGTGTGTGAGTGATATTATCAGTAGTACTTGCTTGAGCAAGACAATGCAAAAATGTGATCAAATGTAAGTCAGTGCCAGAAGAGAATCTTTGGTACGGCAGCATATTCCTAAAGACCAAAGTGGCTTTCGATTTGCTTCAGCACCACAAATACAAGGGCTGTTAGGGCCAAGAAATCTGCTCTAAATAAGTTGAACTCAGCCAAAAATAACAAAGTCGAAAATCGATGCGAAACAAAACTCTTTCCGTTTGCCGGCACTTACCCTTTCATGAAGCTTCAAAAGAACTGAAAATGTACTTAAAAAATACTCAAAAGTACTTTTATAAAAAGTATCAGAGTAGAGTAAAGTACTGGTTCTCAAAAATGTACCGGAGTACAGTAAAAGTACCAAAAATTGTAACGTAAGTACAAGTAACAGAGTACTAGTACTCCGTTACAACCAGCTCTGATTACCAGATCCCCAGACTGGTATGCATTGCCCTAGATACTGAAAGGTGTAGAAACGACACAGCAAACTTACCTATCAGAAAATTACATTTTCACACTCCAAATACATCACTGTGTTCTCAAAAATATTGAATCATGGACATTAGCATGTGATTATGACTTTATCAGATATTTCATGAGAAGTATTTCTTGGGTGACCACATGTACTTCATGAAGTAGTACTTACTGCCATATCGATTCTCAAAGTGAATCACTTTCTACATACTCCGTATATCTCAACTTTTACTTTACTTTTCCGATCCAGCGGCCATTTGGGTTCTAGCCCTTCGGTCTGTCGGTATGGCAAAGAATTTACAGGTTTTAATAGGCTGTGCTTTGTGTACATCTCAACAAAACAGTTAATATGAAGTACTAAATATAATTCAGTTGTGTTGAAAAGGAACCAAGTGAGGACCTCATCTGTAAGATTAATAGTCTTTTTAGATTTCATCTTTTAATATTTAGTGGTATCTGTCAAGTTTGGAAAAAAAAAATATTTTCCATTTGTTTGATTTTCTCACTTCACATCAGAGAAAGGTGAGTGTGGGTTATGACAGGTCATCCATCTATGTTTGTTATATATAAAGTAACGTTGGCTTACTGAATGGGTTTATATTATTATCAGTCAAAATCAGGACTCAGGAATTGTTGCATCTGGTTTTCTTTGATTTTTGCGTTTTCTCTGTGGTGGAAAGATTGTGGAGACAGGGAGTCGCACTTTGAACATGCTGCATCATAAAGAATTATGTTAATGTGGCAAATGCTTCAGCATGCCTATAGATTTTGTTTGGGATTCTTTTTTATTTTACCTTTGCTACACAGCATCATACACATGCACACACTTTTCAGTTCCATCAGTACTCATGTCCTGTGGGGGGGGGGGACATTTTGAAACAAAAGGTTTTGTCTTTTCTTCAGTTTCTGATGTTTTAATTGGGGGGGGGGGGGGATTTTTGTGTTAACCTGTTTTTATTGTTTTCATGCTTTGTTTGCAACCTGTCGAGGTGTTTTTAGCCCTTATGTTTGCTTCTGTGTGTGTAACATTCTTTTTTTTTTATGATTACAAATTATTTATATGACTCAGAAACTGGTTTGTTTTGGGGGAATTTTTTTATATTTTTTTTGCATTGCATGATTTAAATTGTGTCTATTTGCTATAAAAAGGAATCTGTCTTGTTCCTGTTGCATGGAAAAAAATACCCCAGATGTGACGCTAATTTTAACTGCATGCAATTTGAAGTAAGCGCTCATAAATGTTTCTAATTGTGTCGCTTATATTAAGTTATAAGATGAGAAATGTTTAGTCGAGATTCAAGATCACCAAGTTCTTTCTAATTCTAGTCGATTCCTATTTGATAAATTGCTATTTAACTTCACATTGTTAGCTTTGTATGAGAAGTGGAAAACTATACTGATAAAAACAATTTCAAGACCTCCAATGAAATTGTAAAATGATATTATTTGACTTAAGAAAATGCCAGTTCTGCAAATAATAAAATGCCAAGATTTCCTAAATGTATTACAGAGTCCACCAGATTTCTTCTCTGGTTTATTTTAGTCTATCAAGATTCTGAGGAAAGGAAATAGCCGATAGGCCTAACTGTGTATATTGAATCAAGAAGGAAAACAATTATTGTTAGACTTCATATGAAAGCTACCAGTTGATGATTTAGCTCAATAGGTGCATCTAGAGTTACTTATTAATGAAGTGTGTTTTTCTGTTTTCGTTTTGCTTTCAGTTGTGTTTCAGCTTCTTTCAGCTTTTGTGGATTTTTTTTCTTCAGTCAATTAGACAAATTGTTGCTCTGGCAATGATCTTTGCCGTCTTCTTTATGTATGATGTTTCAGTGATAACACTGTTTCCAGCACTCAGCACTGGAGGATGAGTTACAAAGAACATTATGGGATAGACCAATGTTTTTCCACCATTTTAATTTTAAGCCAGCACTCATTTTGGCCACATTTGAGAGGCTTAAATGTCCATACTTCCCACCACATGCGTGTGTATCCAAGCAGGGCATGAAATAACACCTGTCACTACCCTGATGATCCCCACCGCCCACCAGAATTACCAAATCACCCACTTGTGGGCGATGTCCCCCAGATTGGCAAGCACTGGGATAGACTAATCCCAAGCATTTAGGAAATGGGGTATCTTTGACATTAGGGCACCTGAGGTCTGCTCTTTGTGGATGTTGTTTTTCAATAGGAATACATTGTCAGATGTACTGTCCGAACTCTGCATACGGTATTCTAATTTTTTGAAGCCTCATATTGCTGTTCAGGCTAAATTGATACTTTGTTAGTTATGTAGTAAAAACTTCTGAAACAATGGAATGGAGAATGCACAACACCAGGCATTGCTGGCCAGCACAGTCAGACTTCCTATGCCTAAAATTTGGAAGGTATTGTTGATGTAAAGCCGACCTTGTAGCTCTTATTGATCTTGTCTGGCTTAAGTCACAGTCATGATTGATATCGATGCACAGCAGAAGAAGCAGAAGAAGAAAAAGAAGCAGTAACAGTTTGTGGTAGAGCATATAGTAGGCCTGTGCGTTTACTGATACTAATGATGGGGATACAATTACTTCTTTTTGCATGTGTCTATTTGTTTGTTTTGAGTTTGTTTGCAGTGGGTAATTGTGTGGATGTGGGTAGCAGCAGACTGTTGAAGTGATACCTTTTATGATGTCCATGATTTTATTTCTGTTTGAATCACAGGGTTTTGCTTGCGTAAGCATCCTCTCTTTTTTCTGATTGAGTGGCTCGGGCTAACACTTCCTTCATGCATGCTTAATGTAAGCTGCTGAGGATTAGGGCTCTTCTGGGCTTTCACAGTGGGCTAGTGAGGGTACACAGCTTTACATGTGCCGCTTCATTTTTACTAGATGTTTTACAACATTGTAGTATTTTAGAGTTTGAACAAAGTCAAGGGGAGCTTTTGTCCCCAACTATTCTTTTTGGCTCATTTTATTAACTTTCTTTATGAACAGCTGCAGAATTTATTTTTTTTGCGCTTACAGTATGAGACCCAAAGTTTAGCTTTATGTAATGCATTATGAGAGAGGAAATTAATTTCGGAATACAAAACTTTCATGCTAGTGCCAAGCGGATTTGTATGACAAATAATATTGTATAGCATTGAAGCACGGCCGATGATTTGCCTCTAAACATAATTCTACTGAAATTAGTGCGTACACATTTTGGCTGGGAAAAGGGTTTTGAACTTTTACGTAATTGGCTCTTAATGATTTTGATAGTTACTGATAATAATGTGAATGAGGACATCATGAAAGGAAGTGAAGAATAAACTAATTTCTTACCACTCATTTCATTATTTGTACAGTTTTAACTAGATTATTTAAAATGGTTGTGATCCGTATGACGGGATAACAGGGACTAAAACTCTTTGGTAAGGGTGGGAAAAAAAGAATTACTGTCTAGCATGCACGTAGTGAACAGTTTTTCAGGTCCAGAATTTTTTGTTATACATGTTTATTCTTTGCAGAAGAGAAATTTTTACATAAAAGATTTCAGTGCCCTGCCCATTTGGCTATGTGCGTATTAAACTGCATTATCTCCTGTCTGCTCTCTTCATTATGTCTTGAATACTAACCACAACGCAGGAGATATGCAGTGTGATGCTGATAATTTCTTTTTCCATCATCATCATCACCATCTCTGCTGTGGTTGCTGCTGCGGTTGTTCATCTGGCTGTTCCTGTTACTGCTCCTGTCGCTGGCAACCCTGTACCCTTCCACCCCTTCCACCCCCACCGTGTGAATACCCATCATTCAGTGCCATGCGAGATTGCAGAGACCAAACTGTCAGTGAAAAGTCTACACTCTTCACATGAGACAACAAGGCTGTCCCGGCTTAGTTACAAGCACAAGGTTTGATACATAGCCACTATATAACCACCCTTCCCCCCCAAAGAAAAAAGAAATCCTTGTAGACCTATCTCTTCTACTCTCTAGTTTACTTTAGGTACCAGTTGAAGAATTCATAGCTGCAAACGTAACAATGAGTTGATGTTCTCCACAGACAGGAACATTGAGAATCATTACCATACTCTTCTTCTCAAGCCAAAGTCATTTCTCCGTGTCTGTTGCACAGCTGAGTTTTTTGTCTCACATAGAGGTTTTATCTGAAAACATGGGCTGTGTTCTTTACACTACTGCGTATTCTTGGAGCAGTGTCAAGGGGACTCCCAAGTCCTTTTATTTATGAGTTGTTTTGATGAAAACTATGAAAAGCTTTTGAGCAGCCACTTGCATGATGACTTGATGAAGGATTTTTTAAGGTTCACTGGCTCATCTTCGTTTTCAGTGAGTGTGGGCTTTGAAGTCTGTGTCTTGGGTTTGGCTGCTCTTGGACCTCATCATTGTGTTTCCCGGCTTTCCTTGGCCCTCAGCTTCTCTTACTTACATTGGAAAATCTTGTGGTTTCTGATAAATTAGTGAAACCTGACTTTGTGGACTGTCATGTGTGTCGTATTCTTTTTCCCACTACATGGTCAGATGTTCTAATGTTGGGGCACCGAGGCAGGTGAACGGCTGACAAGTTGTTGGGTGTTCTTGTCTCGCCCAATCATGTTTATTTTTTTTGTCCCCATGTAGTCATAAGAATCTGATGAAAGGCTATCCGTGAGGAGCTGATGTTTTTCCTTTACTGAAGTGTGCCTGTATCTGAAAATTTATTTATAGATATGACAGTGTCGTGCAGGGTGCCGGCAGGGTTTGAACAAAAAATTCTGTCTTGACGAGAAAGGAAGAATGATATGAAACAATGTATGGACATCTGTACTCGTTTGTCTTGTGTTTGTAAGCATTTTATTTTTCTCAGGATAGTTCATTTCAGAGGTGCGTTTTCCCTTTGTCACACTGGCCAGACTTAACTGACGAATGTGGGAGAAAATGCAAACTTAAATTCTAAATTTTAACTGTTTCTCTATTAGACCGTTAAATTTGTGTTAATTGGTCTGTTGTGAGCGCTTTTCTTCTTTTTAGTATAACTAATGTCTTAATCTGTGCTGTCAAAATATATGCACGCTGTTTGCACAATTGGTAATGTGCCAATTCAAATCCTCAATGGGGCTTTTTGGGACTTGGGAATTGTTTGAGGAGTTTTTCAAGACTTTCTTCCTGCTTGACTCGATCCTTTCTGAAATGTACATTAAATTCAGAGATCCCAAGAGTGTTGAAAAGGGCATTATACTTTAGAATGTAGTAAACATTTATAAAGACTCCAGGTTTTCAAAGGGAAATTCAAGTACATGACAGAGGAGACTGTTCCTGATTACTCCTCTGAAATTTTTTATTACGACTCATGACCTCTGAGACTTATGTTTCAATGACTCACAGTGAGTAATGAGTACACTTAGAGATATATGCTCAATCGCAACAAGCAGCCAGCACTCAAACAAACATATACTAGAGGTCAAACAAGTGAGGAGAAAAGGGATGCTACAATACTGACTACAATGAGCAATTTTGACGAAATGCGAGGGTTGTGGCGACTTGCCGTCAACGCCATCAACGACATCTGTGTAACACTTCCCTCTGTGTGCCGTTTGCTGTGTTTTTTTAGCTGTTGGCTGTTCTTGTTACCACTGCCCTAATATTTTTCCTTTTGTATAGATGATGTGTAAATAGTTCAGATCATTTTGTATTTTTTAAAATTTTATTATTATTATTATTATTACTATCACTTTCTTTTATTAGCTGTAGTAGTAGAGGTAGCCTGCATGGCAATGTCAGCTCATAACCCCCAAAACATATTTATGTTCCAACATATGCCTTCGGAAAATACAACTGCTATCACTCAACGTCGTATGAAGATTATGAGTTCAGCAGTCGTGTCTCCTGGCGGCAAGATTTTGTTTGAAGTACACAGATATTTTTGTACTTTTTTTATTAACTCTCTCATTTCTGTAGAGTGAAGCCTTTTTGTTTTAATTTTTCACGGCCTTACTAAACTTCATGCTTGGTATGTCATTTACCAGACACGATGTCTCAAAGCACATGCAGCATTTTTCAAAGCATGTTTGGCATGAGCCAGTTTCTTCTATTCTTGTCAAAATACTTCGTTTTTTGCCTTTGGTTTGCATTAGACTTTTTTTATAAACTCTTTTTGGTTTAGTTTGTTTTTTATTTTTATTTTTTTAAAACCTGTTTTTGTGTCTGTGGCGGACATGTATTTTAAGAGCAGTGTAAAGTAGCTACAGTTGTGGTGATAGGGTCAGAAGTCGAGGAGGATGGGGGGGGTTGCTGTTCTCTAATAATTTGTTAATCAGCATAGTCTTGTGAACAACATGGATCAGAGATGAAATGATATTATGTGTAAGATGCTGGAATGGGAGTCGCAAAAAAGCTGTACTTTTACAGTTTTTTTCGCTTGGAGACCATGACTTCTGCATTTCTTCACCTGTACTTGTTAACTGAGCTCTGCTGTCACATTCTGGGCTGTCTGCTCTACTCTATACAATGTTAATGTTCATGTAACATTTGCAGACACTTCTGAACGTGGGGATGGGGGGGGGGGGATGGGAAGAGATTTTGTATGACTACAACCCTTTGCTCTGTCTCTGTGCTTAAAATTACTGTTTCCATAAAACTATTTCTGAAGTAATTTTGGCGGGATGATTGGAGATCTGTCAGTTAATGGCTATGTATTTTTCAACTATACGGTGAAAATGAAGCACATGTATTCCCAATAATGAGCTGAGCCAATCAAGGAGGGTGGGGGGGTGGAGGTTTCATTTGACTACAACCATTAATTATGTGGCAGTGCTTAATTAATCAGTACTACCATGCATAAACTATTTTAGAGAAATTTCGTTTCCGATAGTTGGAGGGCACCGCTGTTGTTTCTGCTGTCTGTCTTATTTTTTCTATGCACTAAATAGCCGTTATTGTGTTGATGTGCTTCTCTTGACAAAAAAAAGGATAATTTTGGTGCAGTTTCTGACAACAAGCATGTTTTAAGTTTTGCTGATGTTTGATAAAGATTCGCTTCTCTCTTTAGTGTTGAACTCACAGTAAAAAGTCATTTCACTTTTAGCTTTTTTTATGTGACCATATGGGTATTTACTGTTATTCTTTTATTGTTTGGGGTATGTTATGGGGAGGGCACATTTCGTTTCTTCCACTGACTTTCTGGGACCATCTAACCTTGTAACTCTGTTGAATGAATTTAAGTTTATCTTGAGTTTTACTGACAATACAGTCTCAAAAAACGTACCTTCAGCAGAGGCACATGTTTTGTATCAGTTGAAGTGAGTTGTTGCACGGGGGGGGCTCTTGTAGGTTCTACTTCTTTACTTTCTCTCTGTTGTTTCTGCCTGTCTGTCTAACTTTCTCCCCGACTCTAGATGACCGTCATTGTGTCAATGTGCTTTTCTACACTAAGACAGAAAGATCCGTCAAAGAAAACGCCTGTGTCAGTGTTTGTTGCTATGAGTGATACACACCTGCACTACCACACTTTAGCTAGCAGGACTGCTCCATCAATTTGTACTGGTGCACAGCAGAGCTGATATAAGTCCTTCACGCACAACCCCACATTCCCTGGAGATAATGGAGCACAATGCTTTCTTGAGTTTGAGCCAGGTAGCTTGCTAGACGTTGAAGGACAACCCACATGGTTTTTGGACTCTCAAAATATTTATATGATCTGGAGGCTTTTGCTTTTCTCACCGTCCCTCTGCGCTTTTCCTCCCTCTTTGTAGCTGTTTATATATTTTTGTCTTTATTTATCTTTGTCTCTTGTCTCTCTGTTTGTGAATGTCTTTCAGTTTGTCTATACATCTCTCCCTCCCTGCATCCCTCCTTTCCTCTCTCTCTCTCTCTCTCTCTCTCTCTCTCTCTCTCTCTCTCTCTCTCTCTCCTTCTCTCCCTCCCTCCCTCCCTCCCTCCCTCCCTCCCTCCCTCTCTCTCTCTCTCTCTCTCTCTCTCTCTCTCTCTCTCTCTCTCTCTCTCTCTCTCTCTCTCTCTCTCTCTCTTTCTCAACTCTCTCTGTGTATGTCTTTCCTCTCCCTTCTCTGTACTGTCAGTGTTACTATGCAGTTGCATGGTGTGAATCAAGGCCTGTAGATAGAGCACAATTAAGAGTCAGGTAATTTTCACCAGGCAATTTAATTTCCAACCATTCAACCTTCTGACATGAGAAATTTTATTATTGGTAGGTTTTGTAAAAAAGTATTAGTGATTTCAAATACATATACCCCCATTATATACCAAATGCACCAAATTTGACAAAAGAATACACAATAACCCCCTGGGGCGGTGCTACTGACTGAAGTGTCTTTAGGCCATTCCCAGAGGGGGGACATTAACCTGTTCTTATGCACAGTAGAATTGTAAATGGGCTGATGCATCGATGTCATGCTCATAACTATGCCTGAACTGCAACAGGGAACTGCTGCCTTTTCTTTCCTAATCCTTACTATCGTCATTTTTTCCTCTATTTCTTTTGTATGTTTGTCACACTCTTGTGACCCGCTGTTTCCGGGGTGCCTTGATAGTCGAAGCAGACTTTGTTCTGTTGAAGCTAGAGAGGTGAGCTTAGCAAGTCTGATTCTTGATAAGAACTTCTGTGTTGACATCCACTCCTTGGCGCTCATATGACCTTATGCAGTTGCGAGCGCCGTAAAAACCTCTACTACAGCAAGAATACACAATGTACACAATGACAATTTCAAACGCGGTCAGTGCAGGCTTATCACAATGTTGTCAACCAAATTATAGAAAGTAATCATTTATCTTCCTTTGTGGCTGTACATGTTGACAAGTTACAGGAGTTTTGCAGCGAGAAGTATAGCAGTGACAGAATCTCTTTTGTTATTGTCGACCTCAGAAGCCAATTCACTGTCGAACCTGTTCAAGATGACCACCTGTAGTCTCGGAGAACAGTGGTCATCAGAGACTGGTGGATGTCTTGGACAGTGTCATCATTATATAACATAGACAAAATTCAAGGGTGGAAGTGGGAAGTGGTCATTTCTACAGGTGCCTTGTCCATTTTTAAATGATATTTTGACATTGTCCTAGATGTTCACGTGATCTGTTTTCCCCTCCACAAAGGACAATCATTTTTAACAATTTTGACTGTATATAAAATTGTGTTGTGGCACCATTAAACAACTTTAGCAACCAGACCTGACCTTACCAATCTATACAGAATGTAATGTGTTTGTTCTGTCAGGATTGAATTCTTTTCATTATTTTTGGCAAAGAACGGTTAACTGTTCTGTAGCTGTGGTAATTTTTTTGTTCAGATTCAAGCCTGTTATTTAGGACATCCTTTTAATTTTGCTCATTTTTCAGATGGTGTGTTAATGTTTTAAATGAAAACTGTAAACGCAGGTGAAATTATTGAATATTGATGATAGAATTATGATAGACCGAAAGTTTAAGTTAGTATATTGTAGTTTTACAGGCACTTGATAGCACCATGCACTGTGTTATCACTGAGAAGTACAACCCCCCCACCCCCACCACACACACACACACACACACTCACCTTTTTCTTTTGTAACAACTGGAACTGGAACAAAAAACCCACAAAACTGGCTCTTTCGTCAAGCAAGGCTTTGTTTGTGCATTCGTCTTCTCCCATGTCACCCATCCGCCCCGTTCTGTTTTCCTCTCCCTTAGCAGACGGAGGGAAACACCAAAAATTGGGCGAGAAAATCATGGACTTGGGCAGGCGCAAGAGTGTGGTAAGTGACAGCTTTCTGGCCTCCCCTCCACACCGGCTGCTGAGAGATAAGACGTTTTTGTTATTGTTTTTTCCGGGGCTGGCATGGGAGCTTGTTTAGGCTCTCTGCATGCTGCTAGCCTTACTAAGTCCACTAATTGTCAACAGTTCACGGAGAAATGTGCTGTCGGCCCATGATGCTACATCATAACTGCAAAGAGATATTTTTATCTGAATGGCGAAGAAAGCAAGGAAAGAAAGAACTGACTTTTTTATGGTAAATATTCGATGAGAATAAAGGCAATGGAAGGAATAAATCTCCTCAAGATACTCTAGTGTTAAAGTCGTTACATCTTTTATGACACGCAAGTATGGTTATCAAATATATTTTATGGGTTATAAAACCTGTCTTTCTGGTCTGCCATCTGACAGAAGTTATGATTTTTTTTCTTAAACTCATGTTGCAATCAGCTCAGCTAATTACTCTTTTCTTTTAGGGCTACAATGAAGTATATTAAGTTGTTTTTTTTTCTGGTACCACATAAAGAATTTGTCTGTGCGAAGTTGTTGTGGTACTACTTTGAAGAGCAGATGTTGGAAGGAGGAACTGGAACTGGATTAATCACTTGATGCTTGAACTACGGTATTGGGAGTTGATTGCACTCGGTTTTGCAAACGTGGCTTGAATGGAGAAAGCAGCCAGTTTGGATGGGTTCACAACTTTGTGTGATGTCAGTAGCTTGCTCTTTTTTTCTTCACTTGTGTCTTCTTGCTGTTTATGTGTAGGATTGCGAGTTGCATCCACCTTGCTGACGACACGTTTTTGTTCAGGTTAGAGAGCTTCTTTACTCTAAGGTCAGTCTGTCCCATTAACAGACGAACGTCTATCTTTATATGTATATTTTTGTTTAGTATAAATGCAACCATTAAAGGAAAGAAACAAGCCAATAAAAACTATCTTTTTTTATTACCCAGAAAAATTTAACTTGACAGTTTGGAAAACACTGGTGTCTATGGTGTAGCGGTTAGGTGCATTGCCATGGCAAGCAGAAGACCCAAGTTGGATTCCTATGTGGAGAATTTTTAAATCAAATATTTTGGTCTTTCTGCCTTGATGTTGAATCCCTCCAAGCCCAGACTGACCCTGACAGTCAGGGTTGAAGCCAGGTTCCTAAATGATCTAATTTGTGTCGATCTGGGTACAAAAAGTACCTTAAAATTAATTGGAAAACACAAAAAAATACCCCTAAAACCAAAAAACAGCTTTTAAAGTCTTGCTGAAATTGCCTAGTCCATAAGTCAGACATCTCTCTCCCTCTCCAATTTTTTAATGATTTCATCTGATTGTTTTGTCTGGGCAAGATAGCATTTCTCCTACTGTTTGTAAAAAATTTTCCCATTCAATTCTTTCAATGGTGACTTTGTGTAAGATTAACATGGCTTTACTTAGGTGACTGTACCAGTTTCGGTCGCTGCGTCATCAGAAAATCAGGTTTTTCATGCACTTGTTTTACTGTTTCTGCAAAGACTGTGAATCAGAAGACACTGTTTACTCATCTTTTTGTTGCTGTCCTATAAGCCAACACCAGTAGTTGACATAGGGGGATGTGATACTTGCTGTGGGAAAATGCTTAATACTGTGTACTGAACTTACTTTACTTACTTTCTCTACTTTCACTTTTTCATCCTCTGTTGCAGTTAAGCATCGAGGGGAGATGCAGCTTTCTATGGTAGGCCAGCTCTGTAGCTCTATCAATTGGGATATTATAATTTCTCAGGGTTTCCTTGACTCCGACCTTTTCTATGGCCTTCCTCTTCCTTTATAGCCTGAGTGCTTGGGGCTGGCCAGGTGACATACGTAACAGGTGGCTAAACCATTTTATTCTCTGTACTGAACACAGGGCGATAAACTGTGCCAGACAGTGGAAAGAATGAAGAGTGCATAATAAGAAATCACAGGTTCATTCGTTCACTAGGTTGTTTGTGGTGTAGCGATGAGGTGCTTCATCACGGCCCACCTCCGAGATGATCTAAACAGTGTCAACCGGGGCATAAAACTTTCGTTTGAAAAAGAAAAAATTTCAGCTTGAATAAGTTTGCATATAATATATATATAATTTGTTGTGTCACTGAGGAGTAGGTAGTGAACACTTTTTTTTCAGCGTTTCTGTGGCAATTTGTCTCAATAAAGGTAGTGCTGTTTTAACCAAATCCCCGTGCAGGAGCCACATATAATTTACTTGATACACGTAGGACTGTACATGAGATCATGCAAAGACAATACAGTAAACAGTCTTCTGATTTAGGGTCTTTGATTCACGTTTTTCTCGATATTTTTCCATCTTTGCTGTGTCATCAAATTGCGTTTACACAAACTGGATACACTTGTTTGTACATCTCAGAAGTGTAACTGGTTTAATGTAGTGTGCGGAGTAGTTATGATGAACAATTAATAGATCTGAGAGTGAATGTGGTTTCCTACATCCCCAAAGATGCCCAAACTTTCTTCACGGACTGTTTAAAAGTAGGCTAATTTTCTAATAATTTGTTTTTCAAGCTGAGTTTGGTAAATTTTCTATCATGTGGAAAGAATATATTGGACAATGACTATTGCATTCTCTTCAGAAGGTATTTAGAAATTCACGACAGCGAAAAGCATAAAGGGAATAGGTCTACTGTTCTTTTTGTCCCACTATTTGATGAGTGGAAACTAAATTAATCCAACTGACTCGATTTCAGGGTGATATTCATTGCTTTCTTTACTGACTTCACAATCCAGTTGGATCACTAATGAGATGTTTTTGGTTTTTTTAATAGTGTTGTTCTTTTTCCTGTGAGTTTTGCACTTTGTTGTTTACTGACTTTGTGTGATAGATTACATTGGATAACCATTATCCTTATGGATGTGTTCAAATGTTTTATGTACATTGTATACTTATGTGGTATTGATGACAAGGTTTACTTTGTCACATTTTCTACCAGTGTAAATTTTATGAATATTGTTACCGTTTTTGTTAACTTTCTTTTGCGCTCATATGACCTTATTCAGTTGCAAGCGCTGTAATACTCTTACCAAAGTGAAGCTCTTATTGTTTTTTCTAATTGTCTTTATTTTGAAACCTCCAAAGACTATGGAAGGTTTTAAAATGGATAAAAATGATACTGATTTGTTTTACAACTCGTGTTTCTCACTGTCTATGAAAGTCTCTATTCTTGTTTGAATGTTAGACAGTGGGACAAGTGTGAATGAAATACGGCTTGCCAAGGGAAAATCCTGGAATAAGAAAGAAAGGAAAATGTATAAATAGCTAATTGTGTTACGATTTCTGCCTTGTTATGAGCTCTTTCTGTTTCCTTTCAGCAATAGAGATTTGAACTCAGTCCTGCATTGTTCTTTAATAAGAATATTTCATTTGTCTTACTTGCTTTTATCTCATTCACTACATAATTTTTACCCTCTTGAATGTTTTTTTTTTTCTGCTGGCAAGGAAGTGTCAAGTGCAAAAATTTAGCTTCGTCAAGTAATTTGCCTATTTTTTGGCAAAGTACAAGTAATACATGTTATTTGCCAAATAATATGAAATTGAAAGGGTAATCTGAAAAAAAAAATTTGTTCAAAACAGGACATATATATCATTTTGGTGAGTCTAAACAGCAATTGCAATAGTTGAATGTTTACAAAAGCGTATCCGTATCGTCTAGCAGATGATAAGGCTCATCATAGTGACAAAGAAAATGCTAGACCAATCATCGTTCAACTGGTTGTGGTGAATGAGTTGAGTCTGAAAAGCTGCCCAATTGAAATGTGTTATAGTTTTTGATGCAGCTATTGAACCATTATGTGCTGAATTGTTGCGTTCATCTGATCTCTAATACATCACGCTCTTGTTCTGGCATTCTGTCCTCACCTTGAGGACTTAAATTTTGCTGTGCTTGAAGGCATCACAACTTCTCTTTGCTTCAGATTTTGATTGTGATGTGATGCACCATAGGCGTTTTAACACCAGCCTGTGACATTAATGAAAATGTTTGGGGTGGCTGTTTCTCAGTCATGGCATCAACCTTGTGTAGAGCCACAAAATGGTGTTTGCATTGGAGAGTTGGCTGTTTATTGCTCTAACCATTTTCTGTATGACACTGGGCATACAAGGCTATGATGCATACGTGAATTTTATTGCCTTTCTTCAGTCCAACCATAGTTTTTAATTTGCCATGTTTCTGTTGGTGACTGTTTAGTGCATTATGTCGTCTGGCTGTTTTATTTTTTGGGGGGTATTGTTCCAATCTGTTCGAGATGTAATGTAGTTGTTATCACACTGACTCAAAGTAAACTATCGATGCGGAGTCCATTCTTAGCTGAGTTTTCTTTTTGGTTTCTGTTTGCGATTTTGAATGGTTTTACTTTTGAATTTCCAAAGTCCTGCTTCCTCATCTATATTTTGACTGCCACTGGTGTGTTCAGATTCCCAAATGAGTGAAACTTGCTGAAGTTATTAACACAGGAGCTGTGACTTTCAGTTTGAATATATAGTTACATCTGTCACGGATTCTACTGATGTCTTTTATTTGTTATGGATGTGCTTTGTGTCCTCATCTGATGTAATAAAGGAATTTAGATGTCTCTGAAGACCACATTAGTTACAGTTTGGCACTGGAATGTTTCTCAAACTTGATACCTCTTTATTAAGTCATCTTATTTTCATTCCTTAGAGGTTCCTGTTTCAGAACTCTCACAGTCACACCCTGAGTGTTAATGTCTTCTTCTTTCAATTACCTGTTTTTGCTATTTTAGATAGTTGACTTTTTAAACAGCAGTTATGCCTGAATCCATTTTTTTTGCAAATTTGGCACCTTTTGCTGTTATAATCTCTTGACGTTCTTTGATGTTTTCATCTTTGGAATTTTCTCCTCGATTGTCATAGCTATACCCACAGAATATTGTTTTACATATGGGAAAATACACACTTATCTTTATATGCAGAGGAAGGAATTATACATCAGCATTATGTTCTACAAACAAAACTGTTCTTAGTCTTAGTTAATTGTAAAACCTGAGGAGTGTTTTGTCTTTTTCTTTTTACTTTTCAATAAGTGTTACATGTTCTATTTCTCTTTGTGGAACAGAAAAGTGAAAGTGAAATTGAGTCCCTTAGTTATTTATACAATTGTGAAGAAATAGTTGGTACACATGAAGTTATTTTTCTAATGAATACTGTAAAACTTTAGTCTTCTAGTGATGTAAGGGCACTGAAATTTAATTAGTGCAAGAACTATGGGTTGTATTTGTTAAAAATGGTATGGGTTTGTCGCCACTGCTAGAGCTGTGAAGGTTATCATGATTATAAGTTTATTTTCAAGTGCCATGCTCTTATTGCCCTTTTGATACCAGACTGATATATAATTTAGCTGAATATTGATCCTTTTTGAGGATTATAATTAGTGATATGCAAAAAAAAAAAAAATTCAATCTATATAATGTAATCTTAGTACAAGGAAAAAGACACGGTATTTATTTAACTCTGAGTCAAAATAAAGTTAATTGTTTGGGGTTAGGAGTATATGTGTTGGTTTTATGAAATTACTGCAAAACACCGCATTTTAACCCTCTCTCATTCCAATTTCTTTCCCTTTGTGTATGTGTGTTTGTGTTTACCAGGTGAGCGCCGACCTGCCCACACTGGGGATGAGTTCTCAGATCATCTCAAAGGAGCAACAAGAGGAGGAGGAGATCGCTGACCGCCAGGGCCAGTGGCTGCGACGCCGGCGTCTGGACGGGTCACTCAACCGCGTCCCACTCGGGTTTTACCCCATGTTGTGGGAGCTGCTACACAGAGTGAGCTTTTGGGCTTTGAATTTTGGTTTAGCTAGGAGCTGTTGAGCTTTTTGTGGTATTTATTAGTTCTCTACATATATATACATCTAAACCTGTGATGAATCTACTTTTTCATCTTAAGTTTCGTTTGTCATGGCTTTTCTGCAATACTTTTTTTGTGATTTTCTCTAATTATTGGTCCCTTTCAGCTTTAATAGTCTATTCTTCTCCTTTCAGCTTGCGTTTTCATTTGGAAGCCAGCTTCAACCACAAATTATCTGTCCCCGTCCTTTTATGCAAGGAAAAATTCTGAAATAATGCCAAATGAGCCCAAAAATGTGAAACTATGCGATGCTGTTTATTTTAACAAAGAATGAGAAAGGAAAATAATCAGAAATTATGCAAAAAATTATCAAAGTATGCAGGATGCATAAAACCACGGGCACAGAATTATGTACAGGTACCACAAATTTCTGTAGCCTGTTTACAGTAGTCTCCGCCTAAACGCACTGTGCTCGGGAGGGCTCCTTAGCGTGTGTTTATACGGAGCGTGCGTTTACATGAACCTTAGTGCAGGGAGGCAGTCATCTCAATTCCTTATTACTCTAGTAACCTCCCTTGGGGGGGAGGGTGTCATTTTGGCAGATAATGTGACGACACGTGACTGTTTTCTGGAAGATTCCCCTACTGGGGTTGAGAACACAAAGGCGTTGAATGGGGGGGGGGGGGGGGGGGGACAAACTCAATGTAATGAATTTGCACTATAAACGTCGGGAACAGATAGATCTAGCCTAAGAGGAAACTGTTGGTGATAGTCATAGTCATAGAGACGACGGACCACCCACGTGGCTTTCCAAGCGACCACCGCCGTAAATTTATGCAGAATCATCATCGAGGAACATTTTCTCTTGTGATTCGTTGAACAAGTAGGCTACGTTATAAGCTCTTCGAGCGCAGCTTATTAGGCTTGGATTACTTGATTACTTGGATCCAGAGCTAGAATCATAGCAGGCGGCACATGTCCATAAAGGCTTATTAGGCTTACTTGGCTAATCTTTAATCCTATAGAAGCCTGTCTAGTGTTTAACGGCATTTACACATGTCGCGCATCAGGCCTAGATCTAGCTAAACATTACACGTAGTCACTCAAACTCCAGTCAGAAACTTTCTCTCAAAGATACATTTCCAGTGACCAATCAAAAAACATTTCCGTCCCCCCCCCCCCCCCCTAAAAAAAATTTAACCGACCAGCCCTAGACCGAGACCTATGCGTCGGTGGAAAGTAGGGTGTGTAAACGCTGTCTATCACTCTCTTTGTACGGCGTGAGGGGCACGCTCATCCAGTATCTGGTTTTCTAGTAAATTCTAGGCTTGTCTTATGCAGGCTGTGCAGGTTGTCGTGAAAATTTCCCCTTGCCGAGCTTTACATGTCTCAGCGTGTTTCGTGGATCGGAGCATGCGTTTAGAGGGAATGACCGTGCGTTTGTACGTCTAAATTATATAGTAAAAAATCCGTCAGATGACGAAAGCGTGCGTTTGAGCGGAGCGTGCTTTTGTATGGCGTGCGTTTAGGCGGAGACTACTGTACTGGTCTGTTCAGTTTCTTCTTGAAGGATGTAGGAGATAGCCAAATCCGTTCTCTCAGTATGGTTTTTTTCTTTAGGTCTTCTGTTGTATATTTATTATTATCATATTACCAGTGTCTTCCCACAAGTGCTTAAGTCATTTTTGGGAAGTTTTGAGAACTTTTTTTTAGCAAGGAGTGCCCAAATGGAAACCATGACTTTGGCACTCATTATTTTTCAATGAAAATTTAGAAAGAAGACAATAAAACAAAACAACAAAAAACCCTGTTGTAAGAAGCCCCTTTATGGATTCATTTGGAACCCCCCTCCCCCCGAAATTAATTGGAATCATGGTAAAATGACACTGACAGTATGTAATTTGCTATAAGTAGGTACCATGGACATTCTATGAAGGCATACAGAGACTTTGGAAGGCTGTCTTTTTTTTTTCTTTCCGTTGGAGAAGATTTTTACTTGTCCTAAGCTGAAAGTATTTGTGTTTTCTCTCTTTGTTTCTCATTTTAGTGCCATGGCCTGCTGATTAAGGGGAATGCACTCCCGGGTACTCTCACTCAAGAGGTGAGTCGTGTGGTGACCTTTGCTTTCTGTCTTTGCTCTTAACAGGGGAGGCGGCAACTGAAGGCTATCTCACTTATTAGTAGATCAAATGTTACCAAATTTCACACATATCACAAGAATAGTAAGGAGTCTTAACCCTCATCCTGCGGGAGCCGGGTTTATGTCGCCCGATAAGCCTATTTCGGCACCTCACCTACGTTCTGGTCCCGAATCAGTGTAGCTCCTGGCTCAGTGCATGCGCAGCGCGCATCCTCTTACGTGTCATTCGGGTCCCGAGTCGGATCCCCATTCACGCAGGTCAAGTGTGTGTGCGTCAGTCTGCTTGAGTTTGTGTGCGTTTGTGGCCTTCTTCTAGAACCGCCTGCGTTGGTTCGTAATCGAGGCATACGTCTCATTCAAAACATGCCAAGTTGGTAGCTCCAGATGTTCGTCCAATGAAATTATAGAAGAAATTGACCCACTTAGACATGAAGACTTCCATTTTTCTATACAAAATATTTCAAATGAGCTTGATTTTGTATGAAATGATACTACCTGATAAAAAATAAGCTTGTTTGATAGTTTTGAATACCATTGTGCAGGTACAAAGAACAATTTGAGGGTAAAACATTCGGAAATTGACCTAAATTATCCCCTTTCGAATCTCAGGTCATTCTCGTAACAACAAGAGCGTCCAGAAAGGTTATTGAAATGGGCGTAACTACTCGTAATGTCTTATCAGCTTGTGAAAGGGGGGGTATTCATGTGTTTGTAACACTTTATAAATAGAAAGCTATGAAAGATAGAGCGTTATTTTCATCATCGGTTAACACACTCTCGCGGTATTCATGGCGAAAACACATGTTTCCCGGCGCGCACGCTGTACACCAACAGTACACACTGAGTGACCCCAGCGGCCTGCCCGGCACGTCCGACATAATCGGTTGCTGATATGATGCGCATCTGGACACAGACGCAGGATAAGAGTTAAAATCCGCTGTCAAATTTGAGAAAACAGTTTTGTTGCCATGGAAATGACCGCCATATTGGATTTTGTTAATATGTCTTACGTAATTAATACGGCACTTATTTTTCATGGAAATAATTTATTTTTTTTGCATGCATCTTGGAAAACAATAGATCTACAAATCTGTGTGATGAATTTTTCCTCAACATACTGGACAATTTTTTAATGAATTTTTTCCTGAAGTAGTATTCACGTTTGCAAAAAATCGGTGAAAATCCACAATCCAAACACCATCAACAACAAAATATTCCATATATAAAAAAATTCATCACTCAAATATTTAATATTCTTTTCTTCATTCTGTGAAAATTTCTTGAAGATTGAATGAAAAATGATGGAGTTATTTTTCAAAGTATATATAGAAAAACCACGTTTCAAGAAAACTGGCGATAAAGAAAACTAAAAGATTGACTTTATGAGGAAATGGTGGTGACAAACATGCTCCGTATGGGAAGAAATAAGGGTTATGGGGATTCTTATTCAATGAAATAGTTATAAGAGAGGCTGGAGAAGCTAAAAATGCCTACAACTTAAATCCACAGTTTTGAGCCGAATCGGGACTTTCAGGGTGCCCCATAAATGTTTACCATGTGTGTAATGTGGGCCCTACGCTCAATAATAAAGGCAATAAAGATATAAAGAAGAGATTAATGCAATTTCTTGGACACTACATCACTATAAAAGCCTTGAACATTTTCATCTCACTGGTAAAATTGGAAGATCCGAGTTCGTTTCCCGAATTGAGAGACTTTAATCAAGTACTTCAGTCTTTGTGTTTGCCTCTCATCCCAGACTAGCCCTGACAAGCAGGGTCAAAGCCAGGTCTTAAATGATCTGAACTGTGCTGATTGGGGTGTAAAATCACCTATTACAAAAATATTTTTTGCGAAAAAAAAACCTTTTTTTCTTTCACTCAGATGACGAAGGGTGAGTTCAAGTTTGCCCTGCAGGTAGAAATGGTCCTGAACCGAATCCCTCAGCCAGAATACCGTCAGCTGATGGTGGAGGCCATGATGGTGCTTACCATGCTGCTGGAGAACGACGGTCACCGCCTCAAGCTTAGCCAGATGGACATCGAGGTGGACAAGATTGTGCACGAGGCCAACTCCATGTTTATCAGAGATCTGGTACGTTTTTGACCCCCCCCTACCGTTAGCTTTCTGTGCATAAATGAGGTATTTCTCTGGGTATTTTGTATATTGCTTATGATATTTTGATCTCCATATTTTGTTTTTCCTACTGTACTTGTGAAGAATAGTGTGTTTATGTGCGTGTTGAGTTGCATCAGGTCGTGAAGGCCAGCAGTTTTTGTCTAGATAAATGTTTGGAGGGTTTGTTTTTTGTCTTTCTTTTATGAGTGGTCCCTGGATTTTATTGCTCTAGTCAGTCTTTCCTTTAAGGGTGTTTAGCTTTTATCTTTGTCATACAATTCTTAAATGTGTCAATGGGAGTTTAGGTGTGGTCTTTTTTTGTTCTCAGAGTTTCTGTTACTCAAACCTGTTTGTAACAAAATGTGACCTTTGTACCGCTGACTTGCCAAAAGTATGACTGTTTCCGTTAATAAAAAAGAGGCATTGTATCCTTTTCTAAAATCAGTTCTTGTGCAGAGTGCTTTTGATGGGTGGCAAGATCATGTCTTGCATTGTCAATATTTGTCTTACTTATATTGTTGCCAACTCTGTGAAATCCTGCTGTTTAAATGTATGCAGAGTTCATAATATTTAGCATGAAGCCGACCAGTGTGTGTAAATGTACAGGGTTTTTTGTACTGTTTTTAGTCTCTCTGTGTCATTTTATTTCCATGTCGTATCCCTTGTTTGAAAGTGAAAGTAAATAAAGGGGTTAATGCGATGGGTGCTCTGATTTGGCTTTATCCTTCTGTTTCATTGTGGGTGTTTCTGTTGTCTTTTTGTTCATCCAGATGAACCAGCCAACACATTGAGACTAGTGAACGCATGAAGTTTGATGGTGAAGTTTGATAAAAGTGGAAAATTTGGTTTTTTTTAAAGAATTTTTTTTACTTGCCATGGGGTGTTGCATTTATCTCTCTACTCGCAGGAAATAGCTACCAATTCTTCATAGAATTAAAATTGTATCTTTTCTGTTTCAGACTGATATTGAGGTATCAGACGACATTCGCTTTCTTTGTTTCCATTTTTCTTTACAATTGATAACCGTTACTTGTTACTTGTTCTTTTGATTTTGTTTCGCCTAACTGTAAGAGAGTTCAAAGAAAATACACAGCACAATTTTGCTCAAATAATTCTTGATAGTGGGTCAGAAAATGGAATGTTAGGTGGCTGTATCAGTGGTATACTTTATTCAGGGAGTCTCATCTGAGTAATTATTCACATGTTCATTAGAATGCAAATTCAACACATATATATATACACAAATGTTCCTTCTCTTTCAGCTAACAGGAAAATGTGTTACGTTTTGTTCTGACCAGGATTTCTACCAGTCGTTTTGTCAAAATTGTCCAAGATGTTTTCCCATTGTTTAGGAGAAAACTTGTTGTCTTTGACAGGTGGTGAGAAAAAACTTGTTGTCTTAGACAGTTGGTAGGAAAAAACGTGTTGTCTTAGACAGGTGGTAGGAGAAAACTTGTTGTCTTAGACAGGTGGTAGGAGAAAACTTGTTGTCTTAGACAGGTGGTAGGAGAAAACTTGTTGTATTAGACAGTTGGATGTCTCGGACAGTGTCATAATATTTTTAAAAATGCAAAGTGGGAAGTGGTACTTTGTACAAGTGATTGTCTTGGAAAGGTAGCTGTTACAGTAGACTCGGCTGGATGGTAGTTTGAAAATGTATTGTGTATGCAAAAACAAAGAAAAGCTGTAAAAGAAAGAGGAGGTCTGATTTTAGCAATATTTATTTGGTTCCGTGAACGTTTGTTTGAGGTTTTCATGTTATGAGTTAAAAAGCTTTTTTATGGTGAAGCACTTGAACACTGTTTGCTTTTGACAATTGTTTGAATTGTTTTGTGCTCATCTCTTTGAGTGGGGAGAAATTTTAGCGGCTATCTTGTTCTTTGTGCTTGGATGTTGCATCCCTCTCAGCTAGGGTTGGCCCTGACAGACAGGGTCAAAGCTTACCCATGATCTAAACTGTGTCAATGGAGGCCAAAAATCCCCCACCTAAACCCTCATTTTTTTTAAAAATTTTCGGGGGGGGGGGGGGGTTTGTTTGTTTTTTTTTGTTTTTTGCTTTTTGCTTTTTTTTTTTTTTTTCCTTTATGAAAATAGTTTATACTTTTCAAGGGTTTTCATGAGTTGGACCCACAATCATGCCTTTTGTTTTTTTATTTGATTGATTGTGTCATCACAATTAGACTTCTGAATTTTCTTTAGCTTAGCTCTAGTGATATTTTCTCTTTCTTTCCAGTCTAGCATTTATCATCCTTATCTTTCCTTCTACTTTTCTTTGTACTCTCATGTTACGCATCTAATCTTCAGCACATACCGCTGGCAGTATTGTATACAGACGTAAGTCATTTTTGGCGGCCTTTGAGATATGTCTGTGGCAATACTGTCCGCAATACGTGTGACCTAATTCTGAAACTACAAGGGCCTAGAAATGTTTACATTTAAATGAATAAAACTCAAACTTGTAAAGGAGATACATCTTCAGTCATTATAACACAATCAGCGGAAGTCTTTTTTTTTTCAATTTTTTGGGGGTATTTCTATGGTAAAAAGTCCTATTATAATTATAGTATTAATGTACTTCTTTTGTGTCCTCAATACAGCAGGATTTTGTTTTTTCGTGCTAAAAACCCAACTGTTAAGACATCTTACCAGTGCTCAAGTCGTTAAGTAGATTCTGGTTGAACCCTGCTTTTATAAACTTTCTCAGGGACAAGAAAGTGATATATCGAAACAGAAAAAAAAAATGTGTTATGCAGTTATGTAATGACCACATAATATCACTACATCAGTACTCTCATTTCTTTCCCCAATATCTTAATCTCTGTCCACAAAATGCGGAGTGGCGTTGTTGGCCTAGTAGTTAGGGTACCGGACCAGTAATCATAAAATTGTGGGTTCGAGGATTCGAGCCTCAGCTCGCTCCGACGTTGTGTCTTTGGGAAAGACACTTTACGCGAATTTCCTATTTGGTTCGGTCCTTTCAGAGAGGGACGTTTGACTCGAAGGTCCCGTATCTTAAATAACCTAATAGTGTTGATACCATTTCAACATTTTTTTCACCAGAAAATGCCGCCGGACGTGGTGGAGCAGGCAACCGGAGCTGCTGGGATCTGCCTCTACCTGTACGACAGCGCCCCCAGTGGTCGTTTTGGCTCCATGGCGTACATGTGCCGAGCCCTGGCCAACATCCTCAACATGCCAGTTAATGAAGAGAATGCTTTCGAGTGTACTGTCAGCTGAGCCGCTACACAGTTATTAACCCACATTCACCATTTTGTTTCTTTTTTTTAGCTTGAGATCAAATTTTTTTCTATTGCTGTGGGGGGGGGGTTATCATTGAAAAAATTTTGTCTTTTTTTTTTTATGATGATTAGTTCATTTTTTAATCAATTTATTCCTATAGTCAAAATTGTCGAAGATGACCAACCTTTGTCGAGGAGAAAAAGGGTGGTCTTAGACAGTGTTATTATTAATTTGGTGGGGGTTTTTATTTGAACGCGGTGGGGTGGTTGTTTGTACAAATGATTTTCTCAGACAGGTGGTCGTTACAGCAGGTTCGACTGTATATTAGAACAGGGGGACTGTAGCTGTAAGTTGGATGTTATGTAACCTGTGTAAGGTGGAAATCTGTAGTTGTCATGGGGATTTTTTCTCCCTAATTTGTCCAGAAAGTTGTAATAACATGAAATGTAAAAGGATAAGAAAGAAAGGAGATAATATACAAAGGAGTGTGGCCAGGTCTGAGTTTTGTCTTAGGGTGCAATTTTTAAAGGTGACTCGTAGCATATGAGCTCTTTGATGGCTAGTTTTGTTTTCATTTTTTATCGCATTATTCCTTTCAGCTGCACATATTTTGATCTCTAGACCGTAAAAAGATATGTTATCAAAATTGTGATTTGATGGGTGCTTCCCCTGTGTCATCCCACTGTGGTGGGTTTTTTTTGTGTGTGAAAAACCCGTCCCAGTTTGTTGGCTCCTACTGCAGGGCTCTTTATGATGTGATAACTATGTGCACCCTGGTCAGCCAAAGGCAATGTTTGTTTGAAGTGTGATTTATATCTGGTTGCCAACTCTTTTTCTCATCTTGAAAAATATCAGGCCCATAAAAGTCATAGGAAGTCGACTTTCATCTTTCTTCCAGTGAATAGTTTCATGTTGTTTTCAGGATTATGACTGAACTTTGTTTTTGTTGATTCAGCGTTGCTTTACGCTCTCCCCTCAACAGAGAAGATTGTGATGTTTTCATGGCGAGAATAGCCTCAATTTTAGGTCACATTTTTATGTGATGTTATTTTTGTCCCATTTGTGACTAGATTTAGTTTATAAAATGTTTAGTTTCATTTACCACTAACACTGCTTTAAACCGCATTATTGTTGTGATTCCTTGAGTATAAAAATTCTCTCAAGAGGCCTGAAAGTTTTCTTTGTTCTGTTTGCTCTCATCAAAATTTTTAGTTCTCTTTTGTTGGATCAGTTTCAGCCTGAAGCTTGACATTATCTAGAACTGTTTCTTGGACAACAAAATTAACACAGCTGTATCATCGAGTTCTTACATAAACCTTTATTTGGCACAAACTAAGCCATATATACTCACATTTGAGATGCATTACACAACCTCAAAGTAACAAGGTTCTACCTCTGAATTTTTTTGTGTTTGGAGTTTGAGTGTTTAGGGTTTCCCCCTGTACTCCCTGTATGTCCTGTGAAGATCAAAGAGAGATGAGATTATTCTTTATTGTCCAGACACGAGCACATTGGATAGCGTATATTTCACCACTCTCACACGGTGTGTGGAATGGTTGGTTGGTATAGTGAAGGCAGCAACAAAGGGGGTGAGGGGGAGCTCTGTCGGCTCTCTCGACCTTTCTCTCATTCTTTAACTTAAGCACTTTGTTCTTTCATTTTGTTTGATTTATAGGTTTCTTATGACAGTTATCTCCTGTGTTTAGCACTTTTTCTTTCCTGACTTTTGTTTACTGGTGTCTGTGGTGTAACGGTTAGGCGCTTTGCCACCGCATACAAAAAATCTTAGCTCGATTCCTGTGTTGGGAGAATTTCATCGAGTATCTCTGTCTTTTTGTTGGGACATTGGATTTCTCTCGGCCAGGGTTGGCCTTTACAAGAAGGGTCAAAACCCACCTCCCAAATGTTCTAAATTGTGTATTTTAGGGTGTACAAACACCTACATTTAGAAGCAAGAAAAAAACTGTTTTTTCTCCAGTAAGGTTTGTTACAATCTTGATTAGTTCTATAAAGAGGAATGTGCCATCTATAGCATTTTACAAGTTTTACTGTGTGTTTATAAATCTGTTGCATGTTTTAATTTAGAGTGCAAGTTCTGGAGACATGTCTGTAAGTTATAAATGTTCACATTTGACTTTGGTTGTAACAGTCGGGGTGTTTTGATAGGGTGCTAACACAGTTTGTGTGGTAATTGTACAAAGTTTTGAGTTTTTATATAAATGTGAATGCCCTCAAGCAACACAACATGTATCGCAATCTAATTTTATTAAAAGAAAATAATGATGATAAAGATTTCTTTTATTGGGCCAAGTCCCTGGTGGCTCAAGGAGCTTCATAATAATTTAAAATTTCGACAGCTACACTGTAACACGCTTCATGCTTACCAATCCTTTCATTGTGCAACGATCCTTTCATACACATCTCTGCATGCATAATATACCAAGTTCTTACAAAGGAACATATCCGTGCACAAAGCTTGACAAAGACAATCACTGAATTACTGACTTAGGCTGCTGATCAGACCTGCTGTTAGAAGAAGAATCAAACAAGCTTAAAATGAAAAATAAATTAATATGTTAAATGCAGTCAATACAAGCGCCTCTTTTTAATGCAGTGGGAGGGAATTCCACACTGAAGGAGCAGCTGTCAAAAAAGCCCTACCTCCAATGTTAAAAAATTTTCCAAGATTCCATCTGACTCATAGATTTAGTGTATTTTGCAGTACGGAGGCCGCTGTTGTTTTTTTTTGCTTTGTTTTTTTTACTTCCTGCCTGTCCTGCTTGCTGCTTAGGCTCTGAATATCAGAAAGGTTATTTCATCAAGATGCCTTTAATTCTTTTTTACTTTATGATTAATTTGAAGGTGTATAAAAATTCATTTGCTTATTGACGCATAATGTGTTTGGTTTGCCAAAGGTCATGTAATACTAGAGGATGCTTACAGGTTGAAATGAATTAACAGGATTTTTTTGTGTGTGAACTGAATTGAAAGTCTAATATGGATCACGTAAACCACTTTCCAGCGCCCTTGCAAAGTTGGTCATAATGAAATTTAATGTCAGCATCTGAGATTTTCATTCCTGATATAAAATGATAGCTGGTTCAGTTTTTTAGGGATTGTGTGAATGTGTGTGCACTGTCTGAAACTTTATATTATGTTTCTTATGTCTTATAGCTATTGCCAGCCTGGTCACTTTTTGCATTAGGAATGTCCTCATCGTGCTATAATGCTATTGCTTCTACCTTTTTGTGAACCCATTTTATTTACATGCTGTATGCCTTTCATAATCATTGAAGCCATTTTGTTCGCATGAGTGTCTAAACAACTTTCTCTTATATTTCCTATAACATCTACCCATACTCTGCATTCTCAAAGCCAAAGTTGAAGTCAGTATAACCAAATTGTATCTTTCCTCCACTGCCCCTCCTTTTTCTATTCCTTCACCTTTGTTTCCCATTAAGTATTGTATAGAAGTGTGATAATTATTTAAGTAAACCTAACCTTTACACTGTCAATCAGACAACTGATTTTTCTTCTGAGTGAATATGATTGGAAATGAGTCAATCTACAGTTGAAAAGTTTGAGAGTGGTGGGCCTGAATGTGGTGTAACAACAATTTGAAATTTTGAGTTTTCTCCAACATACATTCTTTTCCACATTGACTCTTTTTTTTATGAATTGCTGTGCATGGTATTTATCAAACAGCTTAGATCAAAATGTCTTTTGTGAGGGTCAGCTGTGTAGATAAACACAAGTTTTCATCAGCTGTTAGGCTTTCTTGTGAACACGCCCGTTATTACTACTAAAGAGAAAAGAAATAATGCCTTTGTTTTAGAACTGGGATTTTGCAGCTTTTAATTGTGCTGGATGTTTGGTGCTCCTAACAAAGTGATTAAAGTCGTGTCATCATTTTTTTAAACTGTGATCTGAGAGAGCCACTGGCTGGGAGTTTTTGCAGACATTAGCTCCAGATGTATCGTCCTCAGAAATCAAAAGCAAGCATGGCTTTTACACCTGCTGTTGAACATAATTGCATCAGTTCTCAGTGACTGTGTGGGAGTCATGGTGCTCCTGATTTTGTTGTAGGTTTTTTAATAGGTTGTACACATTGTGCTAGTCACAACTTTTTGGCTCCCCTGGGACATTCATTTACTACAGCTTAAAGTTTACATCCGTGAAGGCTATAGGCCTATTTGTTGATGGAAATGTGAAATATGTTGCCTGTGTTATAAAGAAATCCTTTTTCAATTCTACATTCTACTGTAACATGTCTTTGTTTCTTGCATACATACTCCGCAAAAGGAAGAAAAAAAAAGAAGGAAGAAATTATCCATCTGCTCAAGTGGTGTGCTTACAACTCTGTCTGCATAAATTTGCTGTTCTAGGTTTGAAAGTCACTTTACTTTGAGATGTTTAAGCCTGTCTGCTCTAACTTAAAGTATAGCATTTGTGCAGCTCTATGAAAATACAGTCGAAATTGTCCAAGATGCCATAGTCAATTAAAAAGTGGTTGTCTTAGACAGGTGGACATCTTGAACAGTGCCATTTTAATTATAATAGAAAAAGCACAAAGTAGGAAGTGATCATTTGTACAGGGGATATTGTCTTGTACAAGTGGCTGTTGGAGCAGGTTCGACTGAATGTTCTGCTTTCTCTATGTAAGAAAAATTTATCCAAATAAGGGTTAGGGTTTTTTGGGGGGCTCAAGCCTTCTTTGTTGAGGCATGGTGCTTTTCCCTTTGAGATCATAAAAGTCATCATCTGATTGATTGTATATTTTAAAGAAATTTGTTGCGTGGTTTTTTTAAAGGGCTAGCAGCAAAAGTGTAGACATCTTTTTCTTCTCGCACTACTGCCTTCTGTGGTGTAGTGCTGAGGCACTTCATTTGTGCAAACAGTAGACCTGGGTTTGATTCATGTGTTTGGAGAATTTTTATTGAGTACGTCGGTCTTTCTGTTGGGATGTTATATCCCTCTCAGCCTGGGTTGGCCCTTACAGGCAGGGACAAAGCCTAACTCCTAAATGATCTAAATTGTGCCGATAGAGGCGTAAAAACATGTAGCCTACATTAAAATCGTTT